GGTCGTTTCCCCAACCTTTGCTTGAACATCTTCATCTTCTTGGGACTCGCGTTGAGTCCCGCGTCTTTTCCGAAGATCCAAGCACGCGCATCATTTTGGTGGAGAGGGTTTCCAAAACTACATGACGAGACCCAAGCCACTCACTGTGCCGAACTGCCGGAGGGGGGGCGCCATATGAACCTTCTCTCACCTTGTGTGCCCGTCGGCTGGCCGGTTGCACTCCTCAGAAGACTTGGTAAAGATGTGATGTCGGCCTTGAAAGAGGTCAATCTTGGGGTGCCTCAAGATATGATTTTTCTCGGTAGGCTATTAGGTGGCCACTCGGTCGACTTGGTCGAGGGTGGAGTTATAACAAAATTCTTCAGGGGTGCTTCTCAACCCTGGACGTTTTCTTAATATCTCAGGGGTATCAATTGTCTGACCTTTACATGCTACCGAACCGCTAAGGAAATACACAATGTACACCATATATAAAATGAATGGCGTTACAGCACCCTGTCACAGCCTTTAGGGTGCAGGAAAACTTGCCAAAGCCGCATTTATATTAGGCGAGGGCTTCCCCCTTTTACACGTTTTTACACGTGCGTACATATGTTTTAACCCCTTTGTACAACTTGGGGTACCAATAATGGGTGCTCACCGAGCTGTAGGTCTTTTCACGACCTATATGACCACCAAGTGGCGTATCATGAGCCTCATATAGTATCTGATACTTGGGGTCCTCATCTTGAGGTACCACAACACGAGGCTGATCTGTATAGATCACAAACGCTTTGAGCCCAACAGGTGTACCTGAACTTAACAAGGGCATACTTCATCGCAAGTAGCTCCTTATCATGAGCTGGATAGTTTTTCTCTGCAGCTTTCAGCTGGCAAGATCAAACGCGATGACGCATTCCCCACCCTCAGCGTCAAATTGTAAGAGTGCGCTGTTAATGGAAAGTCCAGAGCGTCACACGACGCTAAACGGGCGATCTGGATCAGGCAAAGCCAGAATTAGCGCCTAAAGGAGACTCTCCTTAATGGCTTTAAAAGCCTCGTGGTGCTAGGTTTTTCAACACCATTCCACATCCTTTTTTAAGGAGATTCGACAATGACCTAGCCAATTCCGCATAGTTGTGGCTATACTTGTGCAAGTAATTTGACAAGCCCAAACACTTGCGGAGATCCTTCTGGTTTCTCGGAACCGGCCAATCCACTATAACTTTGATCTTGACGGGGTCTTCCCGGATTCCTCGCTTTCCAATGAAGCATCCCAAAAAGGGAATCTATTCCGCACCGAAGATGCATTTGTCAATATTGGCATATAACTTATGCATTCTCATGCAACCGAGCACAGCTCGAAGGTGCTCGATGTGGTTCTCCACATCAGTCTTGCCATTTTCGGCTCGACTATGGACGAATATATCGTCAGCGTATGTCTGTTCATACGCCCTCTGGGGACGAAACAACTGCGTCACTAGACAACTGAACGTTGCAAGTGCGTTAGGTAGCCCTTGAGGCATCACTAACCTCACTACCAGGGTATACCACTCGGAGTGCTGACCACTGTGAGCAGTATATTACTAGCTTGCATGAGCAGTTGGTAGTATCCATCAACTAAGTTGAGAGCACTGTATATCGTACATCCTACCATATTGTGTTCTGAAGAACATCCTTGAGAGGAATCGGTATTTGAGCCGGGATAGTGGCTGCATTCAGCTTATTGTAAGCATGAACTATTCGATACTTTCCATTTGGATCCCTCACACAAAACGTGGGGCGTAGAGTGAGGAGACTGACTCTCACGCACCATGCGAGCCGCGTGCTTCACACGAAATAACTCATCAATGACGTCACATTGCTTTCGTGGCAGCGGCCACTGTCGCGTCACACAATATTTGGCTCCTGGAATCAAGTCAATCTCATGACGTACAACTCTACGCGGAGGTAACATCGAAGGAGGTTCTTTAGACACAACATTGCCATACTTCTCCAAAAAAGAAAAGCATGGATCCGATGGGTCCTTTTGGATCTGTGATTCACTATGCGCACTAAGCGATTTCTTGGTATCTCAAGGACTGCTATATCAAAAGCGATAAGAGCTCAACTCCTCCTCAAATCGTATAACGACCACTTCGGCGATGTCACCTGGCTGTAAGGCACTGCCAAACTCGGCAAAGGACAAACAGCTCTAAAAGAGCGCTTACTATGGGTATAGCTGAAAGATTCACCGGCTCTTCAACATCCCTCATCAAAACATTCACGAGTGTATATAGCTGTTCGCTATCACCGTCACTCACGATGTCATCATCGCTATTCTTGATGTTCCAGCATCCAACGCAACAGCGTCCACAGGTGTTCACACACCAATGTCAAAGACCACTCCGTTTAATCTGCATCCCCCCCTCTTGGGTAAATGACTCTACATAAGGTGCTTGCACCAGCTGTCCTTACAGACAACCGTCATTTTTATCTCCGACCCTCGTGGGTTAGTACCTCGTCACTAGGTGCTTGCACCTCGTTGTTTTCAAAGACAACATACATTTGAGACTTTAATTAACACTCAAGGGTCATTAAATCGTCAGCTTTGTCGCTCGGACTCGTGTCATGGCATCTTGGCTTGCAGCCAGCAACAACCTTCATGGTGTTTAATGATGTAACATCATTCTTGTGACACATGTCATATGTGTCATCTAGTGCATTCACAGCCACACTATTGACAGCTCTTGGGCCCCTCCCAGGACTATTGGCCTCGACACTTACAGTGTCTACAAAGTAGGATAACCCGACATCCAACATATTGACCGACTAGGTCCAATATCCGCACCAATAGTGCTTGCTTTCTAGGGGAGGTGGGTTCATGACTCTCCAAAGCCTCAACAGGAGCAATGCGCGTTGCGCCTACGATCTTTGATCTCCAATCAACTCATGGCTTATGGCATTAAAGCACTTTGGTAAGATCATACTTCGAATCCAGGTCTAAGATTAAACAGCGCTCCATGCTGTTATCGTCCAAGAACTTTACATCTAAGTCCATAGGGACTTCGGGTACCGAACACGCGTACATAACGCTAAGCGAACCGTGACTGTGTTACTATCACGCGCTCTAAGCACTTCAGCGTATAGCTGAATACCTTTCACAGTGGCACGGGGGGAATAGTTGCCCGATGCCCCCGAATCCATCAAAATGATCCATAGCTTTTCAAAGTCCTTGATCATCCCTTCGACGACCATCAATCCTGGCTTGCAACCTCGTTCCATTTTGAAAGTTCAGGTCTCTTTGGGGCTGGGCTCTGCTTACTTCTACCCCCTAGAGGTTTAACAGAACTCAATTCTTCCCCAGTAGAGCGCCCTGCATCTACTGGGTTCCGCCGTTTCCCCGCGGCGAACCAAAAGATTTGCCCATGGGCGTTTGGCTTTTCGAGGCTAAATATGCCTTTCTTGCAGGACATTTTACCATCAAATGGCATGTGCTCTTGTAGATATAGCATTTGCGCACAATTTGCTGCTCCGTGGCATGAAGCTCAGCTTCTTCATCCTCCACTTGACTACAGTCCATGGGAACAGACCCATCAGACGAGTAGTTACAAGTGGCAGGCCTAGCGGTCTTAAAGTTGGTCTCGGCATTCATGCCACTCCAACAGCTTCCTCGAATGAGTATGGGTTTATCCGAAAGACTTCCATTCTGGCAACGCCAACACGGAGGCCCTCCATCAAGACCGTGACGGTTACTGCCTCAGGCATAGGGTTTATGACCATGGCGGCAATGAGAGTTCTCAGTTCTTGCACATATGCCGCAAGCTCACGCTTGCCTTGGCGACACGCCAAAAGTTACGGTGTGCTCGTTCTGGCGGTGCATACCGCTGGGTCATCTGAGCTTCCAGAGCGACCCATATTGGGAATGCTCTTTGCAGCGATGCACCGCATGTGAATGACCATGGCTTGGCTAAGCCGCCCAGATTAACCATGGCAAAGCCAACACGATAAGGAACATAGGTGATGTCGGCTGTAAACACAGCCGACTCAACCTGTCGGAACCAGCGCATAAGGTTATCAACTTGTTTGAAATCAAACTTATCGACTTCCATATGACTCGGTTTTGGTCTGCGGACCACTTCCTGTGTCAGAGTCGCCATGGGCGAAGGCGCAGAAAAAGCATCTGTGCCTTTGCATGCTCGACTAGAGCGCTGTTATACTCCTCAAGCATATAAATACGCTGAACCTCTTCTTCGCCTCGGGCGATGAGGTATTCCATGCCTTAGAGACAAGGATAGGGAGCAACTTTTGCAACCCGTACTGTTGTGCCTGTGACGGCCAACAGCGGACATCTCTTCGATGTCCATTCTCACAAAGAAAAGTAGTCGCAGAACCAGGTACAGGATTGACAACAAGTGCTGCCAGGTGTAGCCAAGCTACTGTAGCAAAGCTACTTATGCACTACGCGCCGAGAAAGACAAGCTCAAAGAGCTGTACGTCTTAGGGTTCTTAGCCCTTCCAAAAGCTAGATGAACAAGCTCATGCCTTCTGATTGTTAACAACCACGTCTCCAAGAGACTAGTATCAAAGATACAATTACGTTTAAGAATGGAAGAGAACACTATAGCACTCGTGCTATTCAGAGCAGGTTGAAACTGATTTATTAAATAATTTTTTTCCAGCACTTAATATAGAAGCGCCTACTTTATTCGTAGTGCTAGTCACTATTTACTGGCTCTGTAGCCTACTAATATGTAAACATGTATAGTCACGTACTTAATTAACTAAGTAGAGTGACTACATGGCTCTGTGTCACGATACGACCCTTCGTATCTTAGGTACAGTCTCATTAGCATACCACTGTACCTAAGGTACAGCCACACTGGCAGATGTGTATGTACAATACACATCTTTGTGTAACCCAGTTACATGAATCATTTCCGTAAAGGTAACATGGATGCCAATTATTGATCTCTTTGTCAGCATCGCCATGCTATATCTATGAACGATTCTAACCAGCATGATGCAACTTTTTATTGCGTCTAAAAGATCCTGAGAAAGCGTTTACGTGGAAGCTGTTTCTTCAGCATGATCTTGCGCTCCTCAAGAGCCCCAATTTCCTCGTCGGCTTCGTCAATATCGCGTCCTGCGTACTTGGATTCCTCAAGTGCCTTCTGCTTGGCACGAATCTCGGCAATCTCCAGCCGAAGCTTTTTCTCTAAATTTAACGGCGTCTTGTTTTTCTTCAGCTGCGCAGCAGCACTGCCCCACGTCACACGAGGAGCCGGTGGCCAAGATTCTTGTGTAGTCGGCACCGGCAGCTTGTCGTCCTTTTCACTCTTTTCGTTTTCAGCAAGCGCAATTGCAATCACTCGATCTTTGTCTGGATGCGCCGATTGCTTGACCGCCAACGCCTCAATCTCCTCCTGAGTGGCCGAGCCAGGCATCTCAAGCCATACTTTCTGACGCGACTGCAGCTCTACTACTACCGACACCGCTACAATGCAATATCAATTAGCATAAATCTCCGTGCTTGACTCACTATCAGCTCGTCAATGCTCTAACACACACGTACTCTCGTTAATCAGGTCTTCCGTCGAGCCAATAGGTCCAATGTCTTCACGACTCGCCAGTTCCAACAGCGTCTCATTAAGCGGCACATATCTGTTAATACCTTCAATAAGATCGGGATACCGGTCGTTGAAATGATCATAGAACTCGTGATCTGTCTTTAGATTGTACACAAACACAGCACCAATTGCTCCCGGAATGCCCAGCAGAATTCCCGTCGTGTACCAAAAATAACGGTTAAAAGGAGGATCTTTGGACTTGGTAGCAGCAGTAGAAGATGCAGTTTTAGACGAGAACGAAAAGTAACGAACAGAGCTGCGTTGTAGTACGTGCTGAGCAGCGCTAGAGCGTAGGAATGACCAAATCAATACCATTGTAATCACTAAATGACTGCTCTCACATACCGAGTTCAATATACCAAATATGATTGGATAATAAAAGAAACTGATGGACGCATAATTTTTGCCAATCCATCGTATTCATCAAAAATATAATAAAATAAAGCATTTTATATCATAAAAATGGAGGTACTGACTATCTCTTATATTTCCAGCGCGTACGTAACTGGGTTTGTGATTTTATTGGTAGGTGTGGTGCTGCCAATGATCTATATGGTACTACAGAACAAAAAGGCATTCAAGGCGGTACGAAGAGACTAGAAGGGGAGTTTATTTGTTCAAAACGCAAAGAAAGGAAGACATTATCAGAAGATTTTATCTCGCATGCGGAAGTAAATGCGAGCAGAGAGAGAAAGATATTTTTGAGGAGAGAAAGACGGAAAGTTTGCATTGTTTTGTATGGCCTTATTAGGACCATAAATGACAGCAGAAGTGTTTTGCTAATACATTGACAACTACTTGGCAAGGAGAAGGGGATTCGTAAGGATTAGGAAGCGGACTAGTAGACAGGTAGAGTTTTAACGGCACGAGCGTGTATTGTTGTTTTTATCATTTCCATTGGTAGTGGTAATGTAATTAACAGGAACTCATTAAGCAAGTCTTCTGTTAACTACAACTTCTTTCGTCTTACGGAATCTTCTTTTCCATGATACAACTGCCCGACTCATCCTTGCCATGGATCTCAATGTGCTTCACTTTAGGCATCCCCCATGACGTAGTCGAGTGTACAAATACACGCTCGAGTGTACAATTGTCTTGACCATTTATACAGCCACGACCCACAGGTTTACCGTCCACAACTGACAGGTAAATGACACGGTCCTTAAGCGACGTTAGCGTTACTTCATACTCACCAGGATGACCCTCACGTGGTGTAACAATTGCACCGTACGCCGTATTACGTTCAAGCATATTGAGCTCTTCACGTGGTGTTCCATCTTGCTCAAACATGATCCAATAAATGTCCAATGGATTTTCTGGATCCAATGTACCATCTTCTAATAGACGTGCAGCGTATACAACGACATTCTTGTTCTTGTTACGGTATACAACAAACGTCACATTTGGATTAAATTTCTCAGCAATAACCGGTACTGGATTGTTTTCTACTTTAGAAAAATCAAGCATCATGACGGTAAGATCCAAATTAGTAAAGAAAAAAGATGGAAAAAACAAGACTTTTGTAAACTATAGCTTGCGATGAACACGAAGAGACGGCAAATGAGCAGTTGGTTAGTTCCACGTGGATCGTTCTTCTCTAAAATAGCCATGTGCATCTACATCTTGATATTTGTATGTCGTCTTTCATCCGATTGAATGATCACTGCTTTGGTGTACGATACATGGTATGAATACCGGTACATATCTACATACTAGTATTTACTACCGGTACAGGGTCTGAATCTGCTGTTTTTATATTTCCCCGTCTATATCCACACGAAACTTAATGCGCACTTAGTACCTTACCAAAAATGGCGGGAACGACATTGTGTCATCTTCCATCATGTTGTGGCCTCGGGAGGAATTCCATGCTGCGTATGGACAGATTAAACACGATGCCCTACAATCGGGTGGTAGTTGCAGTGTGTTGATCCTTGTTGCGCTAGATGTAGATGCATTATGTGCTGCTGAGATTCTTACTCGTCTGTTACGTATTGATATGTTGAGCTACTCGTTATTGGCGGTCCGTGGCTATGAAGACATTGTGCAGGCCCGTGAGACGCGTATTCGTAGTGTTGATGGTACAATTAAAGGCAATGGGGAACTACGATCAATTATCTTGTTGAATTGCGGTGCAATTGCAAACGTTGCAAAGCTTCTGGCACTACCCATGCATATTAAATGCTACGTACTGGATAGCCATCGTCCAGTTCATTTAGCCAATATCTATGATGAACACCAACAGATTGTGGTATTTGATGATGGTGCAATGTTAATGGAGGAGTATCCAGGCTTTGGTCCGGATTTAGAAGTTGAGGACTTTGAATTAGAAGAGGATGAAGAAGAAGAAGAAGAAGAAGAAGAGGAGGAGGACGCTAAGAGTGAGAGTGAAGAAGAAGCAGAAGTGGAATTTAGCATGCACGATTATACAGAGGATACAAAAAAAGATAAGGAGAGTGAAGAGGTGGATCAGAGGAAGAGAGATCATGAGACAGACAATGAAGACATGGAATCGAGTCCAAAGAGGAGGAAGGAGGGAGAGATAAATGACAGGGATGCTACGGCTGATGATGACAAGGTAGTGGAGGAAAATGTGATACTGGGCAAGCAACGTCGTCGGGAAGAGATCTTGCGGTACTATAGAGGGTCGTTTCATGGCGCCCCAGCAGCTACGGTGGCGTTTGAACTGGCACAGCAAGTAAACAGTTCGCAGCGTGATTTACTGTGGTTTGCTATCATTGGATTGACCAAGCAGTTTGTGATGGAGGAGATCGATACCGACAACTATAATCTCATGGTTACACGATTTCAGGATGAGGTGCTTGCTGTTGATACACCTACGCATCGAACAAATGGTGACGAAGAGCGACACCCGGGCTACGATGACGGCAAGATCAGCTTTGAGGAGGAATATCGCTTCATGTGCTACCGCCACTGGTCGCTGTACGAAGCCATGTACTACTCGGACTACGTGGCTTCAAAGCTTGGACTTTATTACGATCAAGCACGACGTGTGGGTGCGCGAAATGCCACGGGAAGTAGTGGCAATGGCATGAAAGACACGACACTGCACATTTTCCTTGCACGCATGGGTTTTTCACTAAGACAAAGTCAGCAGAAGTTTTCGTACATGCCCCTTGAGATGAAGCAAAAGCTACGCGAGAAGACGCAGGAGATGGCACCCGAGTTTGGCCTGGATGATCTATTCTACGGCTCTTTTAAGCGTACCTTTGCGTTTCAGTATCAATTGTGCGCAACTGACGCTGTCTACGGACTTCAAGCACTGCTGGAGGCCCCTGAGAGCTACGTAGCAGCTGTATTTGAGGCCGAAACGCAGCACCAGAGCACATCGATGAGTCTGTTTTCATTAGATTCTGTCATGTCCTCCCGTACCACTAGCATCATTACAACAGGGAAAAACGGTGAAGATGGAAAGGAGAAAGGGAATGAAGTAATTGAGGAGTCCTTTCAAGACGATTTTCGCCAGCAGAACTTCATGTTAGCGCACACAGCCCTCGCATGTCGATCGGTGACGTCTAGTAAGCTCATGGAGAGTGGTATCAAGGTATCCATGTCGATTAAGCAGGCTATTGTTCGGGTTGGTCTCTCAATCATGGAGCGGAAATTACTAGTTCGTGTGAAGCACTTCCGCTACGTATGCTTAAATGTGCCTGAGCGTGAGCAGGAGCTCTTTACAAACGCCAATGTCCTCACCCAATTAGCTCTTTTCTTGCTCAATGTGCACCGTGCGAGTGGCAAATGGGGTAGTCCCAAGGCTTCAGCCCGGAGGAAACTACAGACTGAGGATAGCGAAGAAGGCAATACAGAGGAAGAAGCACCTGTGACGAACAAACCGATTGTGCCGCTGGTGCTCATAACGCGTAACCCGGCGCAGAACTGTTTTCTACTTGTTGGATTAACCTGTCCATCCACACCGGGCGAGATTCACCGAAAGTAAGTTTGAGATTTATCGTCATTCCATTTGCTGTGCGCTGGCTGATTTTGTATTGTTTGCTCGTTATAAGCACCCTAGGGACGGCATTCAAGCTGGCCGCTGGCGAGACTGGAGCAAATTTTCGACAGGATGGCTTTACAAGTGCTGTAATGGAAATTCAGATCGACGAGATACAGTACTTTCTCGAGCAACTGCACAACGTACTTGATGCATAAGCCTGATGTCGGTAAGCAAATCAACTGGCAATAGATGATAGTGCGTTATGCGAATGCATGGGTGTTTGTATTCTTTCTTGCTATGCAGTTATCGAATATGGAGATAAAGCTATTAGATAGCGTGAAAGGGGAGTGCGCTGTGCCGCACCTTTGACTATGTCACGTATGATTATTATCTGATGTTTCTTGTATATTTTCCATAAAGAGCGGAACAAAGCACGTCTATGGGATGAAACTATGATCATGTCGAGTAACACGCACGAGCACTTGTCGTCCGCGTGGCTCGGTCATCGAGAGATGACAAACTGGCCTCCGTCGACCTGCTGGTCTAGCATGGCTTGGAGAGTCCAGGGACGACTGTCAGCTACGGCAAATAGTCGGTATAGCTACGGCAGCTAAGTTACGTTGAGTTGCGGTGATCAATGTGGACGAGTGCATATTGTGGAGTTTATACATGTAAGTGAGCACAAGCAACGTACAAACCACTCATATTGAAGTTGTAGTCGATTTCATTGGAAATATGAATTCAAATAATGTCAAGCGGCCAAAGAGGAAACGACTTTCAGAAGCTGCGGTGCTATGACGACTTCAACATGCTTCGTCTCAGCTAAGTTTTCGCTCTCGCACAAGCGGCACGTAGCAAACACCAAATAGTCGACGCTGCGTAAAAGTCGTACCTCTCCGCATTATTTTCACAAAAACTTGGCCACCACTGGCTTCATCCAGCGGAAGTACAAGACAACCGCCATCTGCAAGCTGCTCCAAGAGGGCTTGAGGGGGGCACTTCTGCGGCAGCGCCCACATGAATGTAATGAAATGGTGCTTCATTTGGGAGCCCATCCCAGCCGTTGTGACAGCGGATTGATACAATACCTCGATCAATCAGGTCGCCGTCCGCCACTCCAATGTTCTTTTTGGCAAACTGGACAAGTCCAGGAACGATCTCCAGACCAAACACATGTCCGCCTCTGTCTTCCACCATCCGACCCAAACACGCTGTAAGATATCCAGAGCCAGATCCCACGTCTAAGATTCGAGGACTCGTCACATCCTTGATTGCAGCGTAACCCAACTCCATTGCATGACCATGCATATGCGGCGCAGAAATGGTCTGGTGATAGCCAATAGGGTGAGGAACATCTTGGTAAGCTTGGACTGCACCCGCATGTCCTCCATCTGGAGTTTCAACTTGTGCAAGATACTTAGCGCGATCAGTTCGTACCATCGCGCTATACACAGCGTCTGAACTAATGACGCCTGTACGTCTCAAACGGTTAACCAAATCTTCATTGCTTGACGAGCTGCATTGCCAGAACGACATCTTGTGCAAGCGTATACGAAATAATCGACTGTGCACGGTCAGAGTGTTGCTGAACGAGAGCGTTTGATAAACGTGTTGCAATCGTGAGGTTTCTAGGCAAAACGAAGAATGGTGCGAAAGCATCAGGCAGCGGTTGATCCGGCAGTTGGCTCTTGAGAAAATTTATCTCAGATATCAATCATTGCCCGTCCCAGCCGGGGACAAGACAGCTGCGCAATAACACAAGCAGGTGCACGTGGGAATCGTTTAACGGTAGCTATAAACATAAAGCCATGCTTTGCACAGACGGCTATGTAGCGCTTATCTCATCGAGGAAAGACTGAAAGAGATCCATCAGCTTCTTTGCAGTTGGTCGCTTCTTCGGGTCGCTTTGCAGACAATCTTCAATAGCCCGAGACAATTTGTCGACATACGCACTTGATGATAATAGCGATATTGTCAGTGAAATAGCAGAAGATGTTGCCGTAGTGCCGAAACTGCTCTCGTCTGCTTTAGCATCAGAACTGCCAACGTTCGCAAGCATGCGTAACTTGCTCATGAAGTGATGCATAGCAGCATTATGCTCTTTCTTCTTTTGAATGGTACAGGCTGTTCTAAGAAATACCGCTTCTTCTTTGGTAGTAGTCCCGCTTTTTGCTTCGTCATCGATAGTAAGTCGCAGCTTTCTCGTTCGACTTCGGGCCTCGAAATCATCGTTTGTCCTATTGTTCTGGATGGCAGTACGCGAGTGAAAACAAAGCTCGAGAAGCAGGATCCCGACGCTGTAAATGTCAGCATGAAGGTGCCGCGAGTTGTGATGTAGCACCTCTGGTGCCACTAGCGGCAGAGTGAGCCTGGGTTGCTTTCGGGACTCTTGTCTTTGTGGTTGAAGAAACCGAACGCTTTCCAGGTTTACTCCATCCTGATCGTCCGAGTCGGAATCCTGATCGGTTGAACCCTCAACAAGAAGGATGTGTGTTGCATGATACTTGTCGTCTCGACTGTTGTGACGAACATCGCCAATTTTGCACCGAAACATCTCCGTCACCAGGACATTCCGACTTCGCAAATCACCGTGTGAAATACCCATGTTGTGCAAGTAGACAAGCGCCTTGCATATATCAACAGCCATTTGAAAACGCGTTGTAAGTGATCCCTTTGATAGCCCAAATACCATGGCTTGTGCCTGTTTGTGTTCGCTATCCTCACCAAAGATTTGTTCGGGTGGAAATGACGCTAATGTTCCTAACAACGGTGAATTGTATCTATTTGAGCAGTCCAGTCCGTCCACCTCGAGCACTGCTGCCAAATCACCATTTTTTACGTATTCAGAAATGACACATAAGTGCTCCGGATCTGACCACATCGTACCCAGGCAAGCAACAATGTTAGGGTGATGCAATGAGTTTGCTAGCTCCACATCATTGATAGTATCAGCAAGTTCCTTAACCTCAAAACGAAGTGTCATCATGCGCCTCACGACCACCTGTGTGCCGCAGTAGTCTCCCAAAAAGATCTCACCATGGTAGCTACGGCTAAGAATACGGTGCATATGAAATGTTTCCCACTCGACATCATTCCATTCACTCATAGCCTCTTGCTCGTCTAAAGGAAGCGCACGCCATCGCTTCTCTTTTTGAATCTGAAAGTGTTCCCGCAGAGTGCTTACTACAATATCTTTCGTTTCTTCGGGAAGATCATAAATGCGAAGTGGCACTTTGCCATGTTCAGATGCTTCTTCGTCGACCTCATCATCGCTTCTTGGACTCGTGTGCTCAGCCAATTGGTGCATCATCAGTTCCATGCGCCAGTCATTCATTGCCTCTTGCTCCTTGATGTCCATCTTGCGCGTACGCTTTGAGCTTTTCATGATGAGACACAACAAGAACTTACTGGCGAAAATTATACCTGGAATCGCGATTCCCATCGATAGCGTTAGCCAGCACAAAATGTTACAAGCAAAGTCTTTGCACATCGTTCGGTCGGGTTCCAAGTCTGAAGAGTACGGGCAGTACTGGCATACAATTGCACCATCTTCCTCAGAATAAGCACGAGACGAGACTTCACTGCATGCCACACAAGTTCCTGTGGAGTTGTTGTGAAAAGTACCCGCAACACACTGAATGCATCCAAATAGGTTTACTGTGTTTGCAGATCCTGATCTTGGTGAGGACGATAAATCGAGTTCCTCAAAGACACTGCCGTTTGGACAGTCATTGCGCATTGCCACGTCTGAAGACAAGCCAATCCCTGGATTATTCACTAAAGAGCTGAAGGACATTCAATGCCAAACAACATGGTAAGTTTTACAGCAGCAACATAAAGTGCACCTGATACGGATCTTGAAACAAAGCGATTCAGTCATGCTTACACGTTTGTAAGTAGCCTCTTCACCAATGCTATGAAGTTTGTAGTGGGAATGGAAGTAATAAGGTTGGAGTCAAAATTCCTATCGTAGCATATTTGTCAGCAAAAAAGGCAATGGAAGTCTCGAGTGCACATCTAGCTAGACGTACATGGATTTGATGGTTGACATGATCGGATCAAACACAGCGGCGTTGAAGTTAACAACTCGATTGTTACTTAAATCCCTGCAGTTGTCGAACACCCAATTGTTTGTGACATACGTTAGACAATAAAAGATTGTAGAGAAGCATTGCTTATCGCACTAGAACGCACAAAGTTACGAGACCAGTGTATGGATGAAGCGCATCATTCGTTGAGATTGACCATAAATAGTTGTGGCTCAGATTTCTACACATTTGGACATCAACAACTTTAATCCTATGGACCACTGACAGCGCCAGGAAAACCAATACGTACAGATACACCAAGCGTGATGCCTTGAAATCATCAGGGAAGTTAGGCATGAGGTCCATTAGGTTGTCTTGGAGCTCTAAGCGCTCCAAGCTAGTCGGAACCGACGATAGTGTTAATCGATGAATGTTATTGGCGTCTAGCCTAAGGTCTCTGAGTCCGTCTACAGCCTCAAATGCCTCTTCATCGATAACAGAAATGACGTTGTCTCGCAAATTCCTGGTTTGCATATTTTGACAATCCGTCAGAGCACCGTTCCAGAGTAGAGCAAGCCTACGAATAATACAGTCAATCTTACAATATTCTCAGCGCCGACATTCCCGCAAATGCTCTGGAGTTGACCGTGAAGATGCAATTAGAAGCTAGTCGAAGCTCATGTATATTTGAGGCGCCAGCCATGGCTTCCTCCTCGATTTCCGCCAACGCATTATAGTCAAACGAGCTGAGATCATAGCTATGTCAAATACACTTCAAGAAATATGTACATAGCATACTTCTACGTACATGTAACCTTCCGCAATAGCTTTCTGAATACCTGAAGGTATGCCCAAAATGTTGTTATGCGAAAAGTCAAGTGCTTTCCACGAAGAAGACATCGTTAATAGCCCGCTTGGGACTGTCTCCAGATCGTTGTAGCTCATATCGAGCGTATGCAATGCCGTCAAGTTTACAAATGAATCTTCGTAGATTACTGACACGTTGTTATGGGCTAGATAACTAGTCAACATACAACGTGTCAAGTTAACCTTTTTAACAATGATCAGTCTACTCGAAAAATAAGACACTTACATTGACTCAAGCTTTGCTAAGTTTACCAAAGCTTGTGATTCGACAGTACGAACAGTACTTTGGTTGAAAACCAAAGTAGTTAACAACGGACAGTCACTAGCAAGACCTGTTGGTAGCACCTCAATCTGTGTGTTTGTGCAGCTAAACTCAACCAAAAAAACATCACAACACAAGCATGTTCAACAACAACAAGATCAGCACAATCTTAAGCAACCTTGTCTCAAAAGAAAATTCATGGTTTGTGCGTACATTACACTCTGGAGACGTGTTAACTTGACAAACGACTTTGGCCGTAGCTCTGTTAATGGATTGTTGGAAAGATTTCTACAATTCAATCGTCAGACGCAGCTCGTCCCTGAAAATACCATCAAGAGCAAAAAGAGCAGTATGAAACAAACATGGAAGTGACATTATCTGCTGCCTGGAAGAGAGAAACTGGGACGCTCGTCAATGAGTTATTCTGCAAGTGTAGAGTCGTCTCCTGAGCCAAAGCAGGCGCTGATATCCTTGTCACGAGTGTATGTACACTGTAGAAACTAAAGAAAAGTACTGAATTCACTTGATTCATTGTAATATTTGTGATTAATTGCCCTGGAAGCTCGAAACTGCAATAAAGACCATTGACAGACGTGATATGAACGTTAGAAGTATAAATCTTCAAGTGAAATGGCAGCTATGTAGGATAAAAATGGTATAGAAAGAAAGATAAGACAATGTAGATGATGATGATGTATCATTACGTACGATACAATGTCTCCTGTCATTACCACGAGCATCAAAAGTATGTAAACAAGACGCTTCATGGTCGAAAATGGCGTGTTTGGAATGTAAGTTTTGTCAAAAGGGCATTGACAATATTACATTAAAATACAGAGGAAGTCGAATATTTACGTAGTTTAGAAATATTGACGTAGATTGAGTTAATCAGTCCAACTTCATGTTCCTCCAGCCACGGCAAACGCAGACGGAATTCCATGGGTATTCGGTAACTATATTGACATGAAAACACACACACACACAAAGCTTTTGGATTCATATCCAATTGCACATTGATATTGGGTGGGTCGTTAGTATTAGGTAACAATAATTTGTATTGGTATTTTGTATTGTATTGGTATGATGGAAATTAGGTCGAGTTTAGTCCATTTGTGGAGAATTTACTAGCACTTGGAACTGCACAATACTTTGGTATTGTTGGCAATGGACGGCAAAAGGTGTATGAAATGTCGCCAGAAGGGGGTTTAACATTGGTAAGAAAGAGAGAACTCGGAAGAAGCGAGACTTTGTCTTTCATATAATCATGCTTATTGTGGTCTAGATTCGAGCGTTTGATACATTGCAAGGCGTATACGACTGTGCATGGAGTGAACATCATAGTCAACAGCTCGTGAGTTCCTGTGCTGATGGATCGATAAAGCTCTGGCATTTGCAGACAAGAGATGTCTTTCCGATTCAAAATTATCATGAGCATAAGCAGGAAGTATCAGGCGTGAATTGGAATCTCGTTGCAAAAGATTCCTTTGCATCAGCATCATGGGATGGCAGTGTCAAGATTTGGAAACCCGACATACCTTATGCAGTATTAACACTTGTTGAACACACTAGTGCTGTCTATAATGCAGTGTGGAATCCACAAAATAATTTGCTTGTTGCTTCGTGTTCGGGAGATGGTACAGTAAAAATCTGGGATCTAAATACTACACATGCTGTCACTACCATTGCTGCACATGGTAATGAAGTACTTGCTCTGGATTGGAACAAGTACAATCAGTTTGAAGTAGTGTCTGGATCAAGTGACTGTTCTATCAAAGTTTGGGTACGTGACAAGTTCACTTCATTCAATACACATACGTGCTTGCTGATCACTAACTCTTTTTTACTGATTGCAGGACATTCGACATTCGGCACGTGAAATACGAATGCTTCCAGGACACAGTTATGCTGTCAAGAAAATCAAATGCTCACCTCATGATTCAAACGTGATTGCGTCGGTATCGTACGACATGTCGGTTAGAATTTGGAACACAAAGTCACCGTATCCAAGACTTCAGGATGCGCAACATCATAGTGAATTTGTGTTTGGCATTGACTTTAGTCTTTTTGTCGATGGTCTTGTGGCTTCATGTTCATGGGATCGACAAGTGGCTGTGTGGAACTACTTTGGTGGACCACCTTCGTCGCTGCTGCGTAAAGTTCGGAATTAGCTTGTTAAGTTCGTTTGTCTGCTCACGCAAGTTTGTCGAACGTTTGACTGATTGATTAAGCGAGAAAATGGAGACGGCCAAGAAAAAAACAGGCTTTTGGACACAGCACGTGGACTCACAGAGTGGGGTATGCATTATTTTAATCAGTTAGTATGCTGTGGTTCCGGGACTAATCTTTGATTGCGTGTCTCGATTGACAGAGGACGTATTATTTTAATATGGCAATGGGACGAAGTTACTGGAAGATACCACCGGAATTACAGGCTCAAACTAAAAAACCAGCGTTGGATGTGTTACGTGAGTGGGACCCTGAAGCAGCAGAGCGAAAATATGGAGCTGTTAATGAACAAACAGCTGGAGACGATGACGATGAGATCCGTCGAAAGCGTGAGGAGGCATTAGCCAAGTCTCGAATGGAAGCTATTGAGGCTCAGGTTACAGCATCAACGAAACTTTCACTGGAGGAGAGAATGACATTAGCAGCACATAAGAGAAAAGCAGTAGAAGTGCAGAACAGCAATGGTGGTGGTACCCGACAACCTGCTTCTGAAGGTTCCAGTGAGTATCTGGAATTAGTGCGTCAACTGCAGCAGAACGATGACAATGAAGAAGGAACTGGTGGCAAGTGGCTTGTGAGGTAGACATTTGAGTCGACAAACAGAAGCAAATAGTTTATTTGAGAGCATTCACTTGATGCTTAGCCACTCGGTCGTCTTTTCGTGCTTGTGGGTTTTGCTCGTAATTTACGAAATCCTCGTTAATTGACGCTTCTGCAATAAACAAAACATACAAAGAATCAATATACATATACATGGTGTCTGTCATGATGACCACCATATTGTGATTGCAGTAGTCCTAGAGATTAAAGACATGTGTACCCGTTTGTAAGCTTCGTATCGATCCTGGAATGAAATGGATTTTTCATCGTATATTGACAATTTCTTGGGTTTTAAGTCAAAAAGCTCTTGAATGAATGGCATTTTAGCCAGTACACACTTCCAAACAACAAACCAACTGATTATCAATGTACATAGAACAATGCATACTGCCCCAGAAACGTAAGCGCCTGTTATGACTAGTTCCAGCCCCATAAAAACACCTAAACTGACTATTTTATGCTTTCTTCGTTGAAATGCGAACTTAGTAGCATTAAGTTCGTCAAAGACAACCGATTATGATAGCAACAAGTGATTCTTCATTCTACCATCAATCTTCATGCTGCACTTAGTAATTGAGGGAATGCAATTGTATCATCTTAACTCGTTCTTGCTTTTAGCGTGAAATTACTTAACGTTGGCGCACCTTTCCTTTTAAAACAGCAAGCGGCGTCTTGATTGCGTTCGTTGTCTTCCTGATCTTGCCTGCAAATACTGCGACGTCCTTCGACAAGTCCACTTTAACATTCTTGCACGTTTGGGATATCCACGTGTTGTTGCAACACTCTTCTGTCTTGAAGCTTGTTCCACGTGACGCTGGCTATTCGGTAGCTCCTCGCAAACTTGTCGTTCTCTTTCTAGCTCTCTCTTGGTCTTCCTATATACGAAAGGATTTTTGGCAAGTGGTTTCACAATGGATGTAGCTTGTGAAGCCTCATGGATTTCAATTGCTTGTCTTTTTGGACTACATATACGTGGCATCTTACGGACGACGAGCCGAGCGATCTTGTCTTGCTGTTCCATTGTCGCCAGTTTACGGTATAGTAACCGACTGTGCATCGCTAACTCTTTCATGGAATGCCATGACTTTCGTGGTGCCACCTTTGAGCATCTGTGTTCGATCATATCACCCAATCACTTGCAAAACTATAAACAACGATAACAGTCACAAATAAACAATAATAACAACGTTATTCAACACGAATAGGACAATGCAAGGATCACGTCATGACTCGAGAAATGTCCTTACCAGTTTCTTTATTCTATTCAAATATAATACCAAAATGAATGGGGTTTCTTTCCATTACTGAGTCAATGGAGATCGAGGATGGAAGTCATTTATTGACTGACAAACATTAGAGCTATGATGGAGACGACGAAACATTTAAACGAAACAAGGTTTGAATATTTGAATTTTTCAATTAGTATCATCACACCGACATAGTATTTAACTTATATACGCAAAACGAACTTACATCGCACTTAATCACGATTCCTCTCGCCGTTCTATCCAATTATCGTAAGATAGGATTTGCAAGAATCAACATGGAAGCGCTTCAGGACAAGAAAATTAAGTTTTTTTCCATGGAAAATATGAAAAAGAATGAAAAAACAATTGAATATGTGCACACATCGATGTGTGTTATTGCTGGTTGTATTGCTGGTATCACAGGCATGACGGGGCTGCAAGGGTTTGCATTTCTTGCAATCGCCTACGTATTCACGGCTCTAGCGCTTTGGGTGTTTAAGCTTGGAATGAATGTTCATGTGTATTTCAACACAAGTGTCATCTCCTTTATCTTTGCAGGTGTCATGTCTCAAGCACTATCGTTTATCCTCTTTTGGACGCTATCGTATGGACTTGTACATATCTATTGACTACCACCGTTATCAAAGGACTGGTAGCAAGCAGCCCAGGACCTGTACGACACGTGGAGATACCTAGCTCAAGCTGTTTTCCTGACTGTTTGAAAATACTATGAAGACAAGAGTTGAAGAACAGCTACTAATACCGAGGCTATATATATCATGTCATACGTTCTTCATAACATTCTCTTTTTCACGTCTTATTAAGTGCAATGTGCTCGACAATCATGTACATTGTAACACGTCGTGAGCAATTCTGACCAAGAAGTCGTCAATAAACTGTGCGCACACGGTTAGCATGATTGCTTTATCTTGATTATTTGTTTACTGGAACGAGTCGATCTCTAGACGCTTCTTTGACGAAGCTAAGCATGCTGTGTTTCTTGTATCTTCTGCTGCATTATCATCAGCACAGCTTCAAGCATGTTACGCTTGCCATCAATAACCGTCTTGAGCTGTTCCGTGTTTGTCTCCAAGAATTCTACTTTTCGGTCCATAAATTGCTCGGCCTTTGTAATTGATTGCTCGACAAAGTACCCCGTACCCACATCCACCAGCACTTCTTCCTTACTAGCCAATTTACCAGCTACAAACATGGATGCCGTCAGAGGCACGAGCACTTCCTTGTTCAGGTCGGCAGTTGCCATGTTCTGAAGCGCTTCCTTGGACTCAGTAAACCGTGATTGAGCTTCCCGCAGTCCACCAAACGACACTGTCAACTGCTGCAACTCCTTCTCTAGCTGTCCTTTCAATGCATTCAGCTGTTCCAGCGACAGATCCACGAGGTTCACCTCGTTCTGCGCTATACTCGAATCCGCCATGTCGTTCAGATGATACACGTCTAAAAATGCTTTACCCACCAACGAAACGTACTTCATTTCCACCAATCAGTTGCGTAGGTATCATTATTCTACCAATTATACCACTTGTGTCAACCTTTTGTAGTATTTTCAACCAATCAAAAAGCACAACAATAACCTACTCGGACCCGCTCGCGTCACTGCCATTGTCCTCGCCCAGCATGTGCCAAAGCTTCATAGCAACCTCAGCAGCACGATCACGTCTTTGCTCGTTAGTCAGCAGTTTACCTTGTTCACGAACATCTCGTACTTCGGAGATTAGTGCACTGAATTGAGCCATATCAATGTCATCATCTTTGTCATCGCTTTTTTTTGCATCTTTAGTAGACACTCGAGGATCTTCTGCAATCTTTAGAGCCTGCAGTAACGCCTCAATTCGTTCGTCACTCAGTGACATTGTCTGGTCTTCCGCCTTCGTATTCTTCCCCTCCTCATTTCCTGCTTGATGGTGTCTCTTGTCAATCTTGTTTGATACCTTCTCTGTTGCTGCTTTCAACGGCGCAGCCGTTTCTAGTTGAAACGAATGCAACTCCATGGACTTCCACATATTGCAATGTAGTGCTTCTAGCACACGGTCGATTCCAACCTTCTCGTCATTGGAAGTGTCGTCACTGGATATGTGTTCAGTGCAGTCTAAGGCTACAAACTCAAAGCCATTGTCACAACACCAGCTCTTTATTTGCTTCACATCCTCTATAGTTGACAACGATGTGTCAGCCACCAACAAACGCACTTCATGGGAAAACGTGTCCACTATGTGCTTGACAAAGCGGTTTATGTGCAGAAAACTCTCTCTATTCCTCACTTTTACTGTACATATTACCGCCTCATATTCATTCCAATCATGCTGCAATCCTGGTTCTGCTTCATTATCGAGCACTTGGTGCATGTGGACCTCAACGCGAGCTCGATAGTATTTTGTCTGCAGGTTCAGCATCAGCCTGTTATCGTCGTGAGGATATGTATCCAAGTCACCACAGAGCTCTCGAAGCTTGTATATCAATGCCAAGCTACTATCGTTGTCAGAACTAAGTATTAACAGCCTTGAGACGTCGGTATTCCTAGGCACCATTATGATACATCCAGTGTCTTTTAGTAAAAGCCTTGATAGAATGAAACCTGTGTTTCGGTAAAGTACGAGATGACCTCGGTTTTTGCACACGATAGTACCGGTAAGGACCCGATTCATTTTATTTTCCTTACGCTGTAATTTATTTTTCCTATTGCAAATATTTGACTCCGAGTTGCTAAATCTAACGATAGGCGCCAGCCATCCAATACACCAACCACTGCATTCCAGCCTTTCATCGCTCACTCTTCATCGTCCACTCAACGTGTTACTGATGTTGCCGCTTGCTGTCTCTCTCCGTTTAATCAGTCGCTCCCCAGCACGAGTCACTCGCGATGCTGCTCTATCACTCCTATCATCTCGTTCTTCCTCGTTACGCGTGCTTGCAGCTGTTCCTGGCCATTCGTCCATGGCATTCTTCTCATCCTCGTCACTGGACATTGGCGCTAGTGTCATGGAGATAGAAGACAATGGTGAGAACGCGATACTAGAACCCGTACCGCTGGAAAAAGGTTTTGTAGATCAAAAGCCCATTGAAGGCTTCAATTTGTCACAAGAGACACAGCGTAATTTACATAAGGCTGGTGTGACACACTTGTTTCCAGTCCAAACGCAATCATTTGACGTGATGATGAAGGGTTCGGACATTATGGGCCGCTCAAAGACTGGTTCAGGCAAGACACTGGCCTTTACACTGCCTATAATTGAGACAATTATGGCTAATCGGAAGAATACTCGCAACCCACAAGCGCTTGTGTTGTTGCCCACGCGCGAATTGGCGCAGCAAGTTCATGATGCAATACAACGCGTAGCTCCACAGCTACGTACAGTAAACGTGGTGGGTGGTGTGTCGTATACAGTACAGGAAAACCACTTGCGTCGTGGCGTTGATATTCTTGTGGGTACACCTGGGCGTATCATGGATCTGGTAGACAAGGGTTCTTTGTCGTTGGAAGACGTCGACGTGTCAATTTTGGATGAGGCGGACATGATGCTCAAATTTGGTTTTCAAGAAGCTGTAGAGACAATTTTGGGCTGGGTGCCTGACGGTGGTCAAACGGTCATGTGGTCTGCTACCTTCCCAAAGTGGGTGAGCTCAATGGCTAACAAGTTCCTGAAGGAACCCGTATCCATTGATCTCGTTGGTGACAATGACAACCACGTGCCGACCACTGTGACACACAAAGCAATTAATGCGCCGATGCGCGACCGTATTCAGGTGCTGGAGAATGTGCTGCGTCTGCATGCACATGATGGACAGACTCTGGTGTTCACAGAGACAAAGCAGGAAGCTGACGAGATTGCGAACTCTTTGCCTGGTCAGGACGCTCGTGCGCTGCATGGTGATCTCTCACAGGGCATGCGTACGTCCACAATGAACGGTTTTCGTAATGGTCACGTCAAAACGCTCGTATGCACAGACATTGCTGCACGTGGTCTGGACATTGCCAACGTTGATCTTGTGGTACAGTACCGACTTCCGAGCGATAAAGAGAGCTTTGTGCACCGTGCTGGACGTACTGGTCGCGCTGGACGATCGGGTACAAACATCGTGTTTTTTGATCGTCGAGACGCTAGCGACGTGCTGGACTTTGAACGCCGATACAAATTTAAGTTTACACACGCAGGTTCGCCTCGTCCGGAGCAGATGATGGAAGGTGCATTGAAGGATGTAAAGAATCAGTTGGCATCACTTCCCAAGGCGAACGCTTTGTTGTTTAATGAAGCGGCCCAAGCAATGATTGACGAGGAAGGACCGGGTGTATTGAGCACTGCACTTGCTCTGTTGTGTGGCTTTGACGCAAAAAAGCTGACATCGCTCTCGATGCTGACGGGTCGTTTCCGCATGCAGACTGTGCAGGTGGAAGGTGTGCAAAGCTCACGTGAGCTCAACAAGTTATTGTCGTCTTTTACGACTGAACGTGTGGATATCTACCCAGTTGATGGTGGTATGCTTGTGTTTGATATCCCTCATGGTCAATTGGAAAAGTTACAAGAGCATTTAACCGCTGCGTCATCTGGTGAAGAAATAAAGGTGACACCTGCTGTGGAATTTCCACGTATGGTGATTGACCGTGCAAGCTTGAATTCCAATGGCAATGGTCATTTCAGTTCACGTGGGTTTTCTAACAATCAGAGTTTTGGAGGTAATAAGCGTGAAGGAAGTAACAACCGGTTTGGTAGCAGTCGACGTGATGGTGGTTTTAATCGTTTTGGAGGCAACAAACGTGAAGGTGGTTACAATGGAAAGCGTACTGATCATGATGGAGATTTTCACCGTAACAGAAGCGGTCGTAAGTATGATTCGTCGTTTTCAAAAGGACGGAGCTCATCGAGCCGTACTAATTTTGGGCGCTTTACCGATGATTGGTAATGAATCAATCGTGTTTTGTTTTGTTTTTTACCTCGAGAGGAATGATTGCGCCGTAGATAGAGAATGACTGTATTTTCGCTAGTGAAAACTGGTTGTGTCGTGCTTTTCTTAAGTTGATTAAGGCACAAAAATATGCCGTTATTTTTGATCATTTGGTCCATAATTGGTCCGGGAGATGGTGTATCAGACACGAACATCCATTCGAAGCTTCAACATTTGTCATTTTTAATGCCATTGCTCCCAACCAACCAATTTGCGCTAGCACGAGCGGGTCTGTATCGCTCTCGTGCGCCTTCTAATGTTGTTAATCTTGTACGTAATGTCCGCATTCCTTTTGTGTCTTGCTTAGTATCTTGTTCTGTCTCTACTAGTGTCATAAACAACACTGAATCAGCTTCAAACCTTCATAATTACGTTAAAGCTCGTCTCGATTATAAGAAACTAGTCAATAACATTGATGTGGCGATTGAGAATGGTAGAAAACGATGTAGTGAAGGAAATCCAAAGCTTGTAGCTGAGTTATACCAGCAACAGGGTAAATTATGTCACAGGGTTAACCTTTTACGAGCAGAACGCAATCTACACGCGAAACAGCTTGGCCAAGCAGCTGCAGCCAAGAAAACGACACAGGATAAACAAAGACATGAAGACTTCGAAACACTGCGTAGTCGTGGACAGGAGCTTAAACGTGAAATTGCAGAGCTTGCGAACAAACTGATGAAGGTATCAGTGGAACTGGAGCTCGAAGCGTTGAAGATTCCGAATGAGACGCATCCCGATGTGCCTGTAGGTACGGAAGAGAATTCACGTGTGATAAGGATACATGGAGAAAAGCCCGTGTTTCCATTTAAGCCCAAAGACCACTACGATTTAGCTATGGAGTTAGAGTTGTTGGATACCCATACGGCCTCTCGAGTTGCAGGTTCTAAGTTTACGTACTTGTGTAATGAAGGTGCTATGATGGAGATTGCATTGGTACATTGGACGTTGAGTAAATTACGCGCACGTGGCTTTAAGATCATGTTACCGCCTGATGTGGCACACTATAAACTCGTTGAAGGCTGTGGGTTTCAGCCACGTGGAGAGGCGACGCAAATTTATTCGATTGCACACTCGGACTTGTGTCTGACTGCTACGTCAGAGATTACGCTAGCTGCTTCTAAAAGTAACGAGATCATCTCGACACCCGATTTACCACTGAAGTATGCTGGATTTAGTCACTGTTTTCGTACGGAGATTGGACATGGTGGTCGCCAAACCCGCGGTATCTATCGCATTCACCAATTCAGCAAGGTAGAAATGTTCGGCTTTTGTGCCAACGAGACCCAAGCACATGAGTTTTTTGAGGAGATGGTAGATATTCAGACGAGCATGTATGCTGAGTTGGGTCTACATTTTAAGCTTATGGATATGGCCACCGGTGACCTTGGTGCACCAGCCTACCGTAAGTTTGATCTGCTGGTCTGGATGCCTGGTCGTGAGGAGTACGGCGAGGTCTCAAGCATGTCCATGTGCACCGACTATCAGGCTCGCCGCCTTAACATCCGTCACAAGGATCCAAAGGACGATGAGGATGGCACATCATTTGTGCATACACTCAACGGCACTGCCTGCGCCGTTCCTCGCCTGCTCATCAGTTTGTGGGAGACGTACCAGCAAAAAGATGGTTCAATCGTTATTCCGGACGTGCTTAGGTCGTACATGGGTGGCCAGGAGGTCATTCGCCGTCCTGCGTGACGCAGAACCGCATAGTTGAACAGATTATTACAGCGCGGCCAATAGACGTCTTACGTGTGATGTGTAGCCGATTTGATGCTGCTATTGTCGCGCAGATTTGGTGCATTGATTCATCTGTTTTATCTATTCCACGCACTGCTGATGTTCATATCGTTTCCTCGCACAACTTTTCGGACTGTTGGTGCTTTCTACTGCCCGCACATAGAGTGAGCCTAGAATGCAGTCACGAACATCAAACGACTCGAAGCGACCGCTAGCTGTGAGCAAGTACACCTGCGTCGCGGTGGCAGCAGTGATGATACCGGACATCACGCAATCATCCTGACTTTCATCCGCATCATCAGCCGCCGTTTCTATTCTTTGGCGCCTAAAAAATACCTCAACCTCTTGTCCCTCCTGTAGCATTCGTGGATTGTACAGCAGTCGAGGTCGTCGATTCTTCTTTGCTGTGCTCGTTGCTTTTTCTGGCATTGTGGTAGGAGCAGGTACATTTGATCCTGCGTATGGTATCCTCCTAGGAGTGACAATCATTGGCCTCTGTCGTTTCAGCTTCTTTTCTTTGTGGTGCTTTTTCTTTACGTGGTGCTTTTGCTTCTGTTCCAGCTTCGCCTTGTCCTTCTTCTTCTCCATCTTAATCTTTCGAGTCTTCAAGTGCTTGTTATAACATAACACAGCACTTTGAATTGTTTTCAAGTCCTTAGCAATCTCTTTCGCCGTCACCTGTTCTACCACAGGTTTAAACACCGAAGTACATGACAAAAGCTGCTCAAGACGTTTCTTCTCGTGAAACTGTTCGCGTTGTGCTCTTTCTTCCGGTGACGCCGAGGCCAAGAAAACATCTTCCGGTCCGTCTTCATCTCCACCACTAGCAGTGTACATGGTACGTCGTCTTCTCATATTATTTCCAGCACGTTTTGCTGGTATTGCACAACCTTTTCTTGTCTCATCCCTCACTGCTCGACGTCGACGACTTGTTACACTCACACCATCCTTAGCTGTCTGTAATCGTCGTAGCTCGCGTTCCATATCCGTATTCATGTCTCTCTTTAACTCAGTACACTGTTGATCATACATTTCTTGAGCCTTTTCACTCGCATAGTCAAACACTTTCCGTGCTGCCACTCGTCGTCGTTCCAGAGTGGCCCAGGCCTTTGTAATTTGTTCTTCTCGTGTCTTTATCAACAAATCACATCCAAGTTTCAAGTCCACAGCAATTTCATTCTCTACTTGTCGTTCCAATTCATTCAATTGATCAAGTTCATACTCCAGACTCTCACGATCTCGTGGTAAGGCATCCACGAGACTCAACGTATCGTCACTCTGAATATGGACTTTATCTTCTGACGTAACGGCATGGTAAATGTCCTTGTCGTTTGCTTGTGGATTAATTGTAGCGTTTAGTAATGTAATACAGTGGTTAGAAGAAGTAGAAGGTTTGAACTTATCGTGATAGACACAGGAAGACATTCGTGCCTTTGGGATCATGACATTATTCATCGCCCACTTACTAGGAAGAGGACTCAAAAATTCAGAAATGACACTACTTTTCATCTGATGATAGAAATGATGGGTTAGAAATACGTCACAGTAACTCAAATTTCCGCTTTTCAATAGAAATATCCTACTTGAAACAAAACAATTTCACCAAACGAAGTTTTAGGTGAGCGTAACTGCTCACTTGCGCTCTTTACGTGCGACGTTTGTGCATTATTATGACACGCTTGAAGCACATGTGCAATTTATAAAACTCATGTTCACACGCATGACGATTGATTCCTCCTTGAAGATTCGCAACGCACTTGCCATATACTTGAATCTAAGTATTTATTCATATGATGGGCGATAGTAGACGAAAGAGCATGATTTATAGATATATGAATGATATTTAAGTGACGAATATGATATTACTAAATATATACGTACATCACGTGGACAGTCGGTTAGCATATGAGAAAAGACTTGACCCATGCGTAGAGGTGTCTTTTTCGTCGTCGAGCTTCCACTAGGCATTGGTTCGTGTTATCCTGATAGTATTCGTAACTTCTGAACGTGATAAGAGTAGGAAAGATAGTACTTTTATGACACGATTTTATTAGTTTGCATGAATAGTACTATTTTTTTTTATTTACCCAAAGTGTTGCAATATGCAAGTGTGTACAGTACTTGTATATGAGCTGGCAGCTACCCTAATTCCATCAATCGTCCTTTTGCCACGGCAGCATACTTACCCGGGTGAGATTCAGTCAGTCTTGCTGTCAATTTCATTGCTTGATGGAGACTGCACTTGATTGGAATCAACAAGAGCTGCTGTAGTAAAGACTGGAGCTTCGGTTAATGTGGGACTCGGACCCTCCACTGCACTTGCTGCTGCAAAAGATACACTTGGTCTCTCCCCTCCTTCAGCAGTAGCAGTAGCACTGACAGACGGTAAGTTTTCATCGGTATCATGCTCAGAGTCCACATGCTCTTCTTTCTTTGTAGAATCTACCACTGCCTCAACAGCAATCGTCTCGGTCTTGATGGCTGTCCCAGCCTGAACGACCGAAGCATCTTGCAAAGGAGGTGACGGAGGACCATCGCTCACGTTGCCATCGCTCTCCACAGGATTCTCGATATTCTGCAAAGGTGCAGGGACCTGTAGCTGCTGAATGATTGTCTTTGTGCTTGACTTCAACACCTTTCTAATAGCCGTGAGCACTTGTTTGCCATCCACGGCCGTCTCTTCTTCAAACAAGTCCTGAAAGCGGAAGAACATCTCATTCACAGACTCCTTAAAAAGAGACACCAACCTCTCCCGCTCCTCGGCACCTCCAGAATGCGTGGCTACAGCTAGCATATCCTGTGCCTCACGCTTGAGTGCCTCTGCAGCGGCAAGAGCACGCGCTGCTGCCTGCTCATGCTCCTTCACTGACGCATAATCCTCAAAACCCTCAAAGCCATTCTCAAGAGTAGATCCCGACGCTGACATGCGACCAGACTCCAGTATTTGCTGCACTCGCTCATACTTCTCCTCTTCCAGGTCTTTAACCTTTTGCTGCAATAGATCTATCTGTTCAACAAAAAGACGCTTCTCTTCAGCCGCCAATATGCTTTCTGCTTCAGTATTTCGAGCATCCGGGGTTGCTGCAGTGGACTCAAGATCTGTCTCCAATTCATGAACTCGCGCCAAATACACATCCAGTTTACCAGTTAATTCGTGGTTCACCCGCTGCAGTTGAGCAAGCTGCTGTGTAGCTTGTTCCAGCTGTTGCTTTGCGTCTCGCTCCTTAATTTCGCTCTGCGCTAATAGATGCTGCACCTGTTCTTCCGCATGAGTTTGTAATCGCATTTTTTCGTCATTCACCTTCTGTAGTTGCGCCTGAAGAGAACCTACATGCTGCTCCAATTGAACCGTTGCAGTAGCAAGTTCTGAAGTTTTCACTTGCAAAGTCACGTCGTGCTGTTTTTTCGTAAGCACCAGCTCCTGCTCCGCCAAGGACCGAGCTTGTGTTTCCTTAGCGAGCTGTTTCTCAGCTCGTGACCGGGCTTCACGTTCAAAACTTAAGGCCTGCTTGTGTTCTTCTGTTTCATTACTAAACCCTTGTTGCTGCTGTAGCTGGTAGTAGGCCGTCAGTAATTGCTGGTACTCGGCATGCAAACGGTTTGTTTGCGTAACTGCAGCATCCCTTGCACTTGCAAGAGAACTTAGCTCCGAGTTTGCATTCAGCTGAGAGCTTGCAGCAGACTGATAACGTTCCTGCAGTATGCGCTTCTCCTCTTGTAGACGTCTATTTTGCTCCAACAACTCCTCACAACGTCTTTCGTACGATGATTGTTGCTGATGTTGCGAATTTATCTGAGTCAACAGTCGATCGTTTTCGCTTGCGAGTCTTTCCACACCACGAATAACAGCAGCAACATCACTGGGACCTGCACCGATGCTAGACGCAGAGTTAGGAGACACGGCTGGTGCCATGCGGATGAGGTAATCCACTTTGGCGTTCAATTCCGATAACATCATGTCGACCGGACGCCCTCCACCTAGCGCATTATTATTGAACAATGCCGATGAGTTTGAAAAGCTGCTGTTGAAGCCACCACCCAAGCTAATGCCCATAGACCCGAAGCCGCTTCCAGCAACATTCATTCGTTCCCGTTCAAGCGCTTGCGCCTGAAGCTCCAGCTGTTGCTCGCGTTGTAGCATACGCAGCTCCTTAAGCTCCATTTCATTTTTTGCAGCAATGCTATTCACGTCTTCATCATACGGCACAAGATCTCCAGTCCTCGCTGTATCATTCCGATCGTACTGACCGCGCGTCGCGTTTGAACGCGATGATGTTGCCGCCGCGGTGGTAGCATTTGGACTCGAACGTCGTCGTGATGCCTTCCTATCAGAGGATACTTTAGGTGCTTCTTCTGATGCTGCTGAAGTATTCATAGCCAGCACAGGTTTTTGTTGACTTGCTTTGTTTCCCGTTTTGGTTTTTATCAATTCGATCTCCAGCAGATACCAGTCCTGTCCATTTGTTTTACCCGGCGGGGCCAACACAATTCGTTTCCCGCCTTTCTTCATGCCCATGATACCCTCTTCTAACGCCTTAATGCGTTCACTGCTTTCTCCAAGTCGAATTTTGCGGAAATCACTTTCACTAGCCTTTTCAAAAGGTGCGTACTTTGTCATCACATCTCCTGGTGCCGAATTGGCATTGCCTACAACTCGCCACGCACGGAATGCAACCGCGACAATGTCATTCCTCGTCACTTGTTGAATCTCAGGATTAACAAACACTAAATCATCTTGTATCAAAGCACTCGGGTTTGTCTTGGTCACTGTCTTCTCGCTACCCCAAATCTCAACATGTATCTTGGCTAGAAATACTTGACGCATGAACTCAGCTACTTGATCATCACTTAGAAACTTGATCGACCAATTATTACCTTGCTCATCATAAAAGTTCACATAACTTTTAGCTTGAAGTGTGGGTTTAAACGTCCCGAATTTGATCGGAATCGCACACAAATGCTGCTTGGCAGCGTTATAAAATAGCAAATTGTACGACGTCTCACTGCCAACAATAACACAACCTACTGCTGCTTTACTACCAGCTGTTGTGCCTCCTAGCTGTACGTATTTACGAGCTGTTGCATCGTATTGATACAGAGAGACCATGGTCGAATACACGACCGAGGAAGATGTAGATGAAGCCGTAGGGGCCACTGTTTGCTGCTGCTGCTGAGAAGGCTCTCGTGGTGCTGTGTATCTTAATACGTCGTTCCCTCCACCACCAGAGGTTGAAGTGTCTTGAAAAATACCATTTAGTCGAGCACTTGGGTTTGAAGACATTTGTGACGCGTGTAGTCGAATCTGGATGGCAAGAAGAGATTAAGTATAATGCGGATATCAAGGGGAATATAATGATAGCGAGACACGGAGCGAGGAAGACCGTATGAAGCGCAGAGAGATGTAGACAATTACAGCTACAGCTGTCTTTAATATAGTCTAATTAAGTAATAACGATGGAATTTGTAAATTGGCGTGTCACACACTAGATTAAAAATCCTATTGTGTACTCATTTAATACTTACTAGATGTTAGTAGTATTACTAATACAAGCATACGTTTATCCGTACAAAATGACTACTATACACAAAGCAAAATATCAGGTCGGTCACAGTTGCGTCTTTAAGTCGCGTCCAACAAAAACGCATTGACTGCATCCAGTAGTTTGTGTCGTTCAATGGCGTCTGTACAAACGCTGATTCCGTTGCTATCTGCATCCACTTCTTCTACTAAAAGACGCTTGAATGAATTTACAGACGCTTCACTCTGCTCGTCTAAAATTTCAAACAAAAATACTGTACCCATCGATGTAAACGTTGCAAGTAAAGACGAGCACTGTCGTGTCGATCTAGGCGTTATGGAGCCAATACATGGCACCATTCAATGCGTTGATTGTGGTGAACAGTTTATTTTTGCAACTGATTTGGTTGCACACAGTCAAAAAACGCAACATCGACCGTTTGCTTGTTTATCTGAAGGTTGTAAAAAGCGCTATACGAAGCGTGAGCATTTGACACGCCACGTTGAGACTGTGCACGTACGTGGTACATTCCAATCACTGGAACAACGTAAACCGTTTCAATGTGAGCTTTGTGATGCTCGATTTACATATAACCATGGACTCACACGTCATATTAAACGCTCGCATCGAAATGTAAACTTGCCATTTGAATGTGCCGAGTGTCTAAAGGGGTTTAAGAAAAAGAATGAGTTTCAAGCGCACTCGTATGTGCACACTGGTGTATTACCTTTTGAGTGTGAAGAATGTGGAGAACGGTTCTTAAAACGATTTTGGCTAACACGGCACCAAAGGAAGCATGAGGCAAACAAGGAGGCAGATACTCAAGTATACGTGTGTGTTTGCGGTGAGATATGCTTTGATGGTGATGAGCTCAAGAGCCATAAGCAATCAGAGCACACGAGTGGGGATAGGCATGGCACTATCGTAGACTTCGACAAGCAAGTACCGACGTATGTGTGTCTTGTGTGTGATCAAACTTTTAGTAGGAAGCAGTATCTACGTGCCCATTTGCGCACACATTTCGAATCGTTAGATGATCGCAAGCAGTACACATGTCCGATGGACGGCTGTGACAAGACATACACACGCTCGTCAAATTTGATGACACATTACAACGCAGTCCATGACATGCACAAGTCGAAGCGATTTGCGTGTCCGCAAAATGGCTGCACAGCACGATTCGGCTATAAGACGGTTCTGAAGCACCATATTGAAAGCATTCACGAGAATCCAAAGCCATCTATAAAGCGCAAACGCAAATCTGTGAGTATTTTTGAAAGAGCGCTTGGAGTGAACCAATTTGCTGAGCAAGAACTACACGACACTGCTGTAAGCAGTGATGTGAAAAAAGAGCTGAACTGAGCCGCCGTCGATGTAGGCTGCTATATAGCTTAGATGTTGACTGTAGACGCGTTCATGGTCTTGCAATGATACAAGAGTGGGCACAGGGTGCTACTAGTTATATCTAAAGACCACCGTCCAAGATGGTACGGCAGTGCAAGCATCATGCAATATAATGAGATCAGTCATGATGTGCAACTCGCTTTCCTCGTCCAGCACCGTACGACAACTCAAGAACAAGTGCGTTAAGTATCATTTCAAACGTCATGTTTCGTTTACTTTTGCTCGCTCTGGAGCTGTAGAAAATTCGCTGCGTTATTGCCGCAACACCACAATCCAGCCGCATTCTCATTACTAACTACACCTGGGGACCGAACTTCGAGTAATCCGTGACGTCTGCCGACACGTACTTTTTAAAGTTGTCCTTAAACATATTGGCTAGCTTCCGAGCCGTAACATCATAAGCAGCCTTGTCGCTCCACGCTTCGCGCGGGTTCAGCACATTCTCAGGGATGTCACTCAGCTTCTTCGGCACCTGGAACCCAAAGTTAGGGTCCTCCGAAAACTCGGAGCTCTTGATAGACCCGTCCAAAATGGCGTCAATGCACGCACGCGTGATCTTGATGCTCATGCGCTTGCCAACGCCGTAACCACCACCCGTCCAGCCTGTGTTGACGAGATAGACAGCGGTGTTGTGCTTCTTCAACTTCTGTTGCAGCAGATCAGCGTACTTGGTCGGGTGCAGGGGCAAGAAGGCCGCGCCGAAGCATGCACTGAAAGTAGCCGTGGGTTCCGTCACCCCACGCTCCGTGCCAGCAACCTTGGCCGTGTAACCCGACAGGAAGTGATACATGGCTTGGCCATCGCTCAACTTGGACACGGGCGGTAGCACACCGTAGGCGTCACAAGTCAGGAACACAATGTTGGACGGATGACCACCTCTTGAGGTAGGTTCATGGTTCGGGATGTGATAGATGGGGTACGACACACGGCCATTCTCCGTCTTGGACGTGTTGTAAAAGTCCGGCTCCTTCGTCTCAGTGTCCACAAAGATGTTTTCCAGCAAAGCATCTCGCTTGATGGCGTTGTAAATGTCCGGCTCGTTCTCGCGGCTCAGGTTGATTGTTTTGGCGTAACATCCGCCCTCAAAGTTGAAGATTCCGTCGTCATCCCATCCATGCTCGTCGTCACCAATAAGGTTACGGTGCGGATCAGCCGACAGAGTCGTCTTACCCGTTCCCGACAGACCAAAAAAGAGAGCCGTGTCGCCATTTTTCCCCTTATTGGCCGAACAATGCATGGCCATGATGCCGTCTAGAGGCAGCCAGTAATTCATCATAGAGAAAATACCCTTCTTCATCTCACCACCGTACCATGTGCCTCCAATGACAGCAACATTCTTTTCAATGTTAAAAGCAACAAATACCTCTGAATTAAGGCCATGTTTCTTATACTCCTTGTTTGTAACCTTGCAAGCATTTACAATGGTAAAGTCCGGTTTAAAGTCAGTAATTTCTTCCTTACTCGTTGGACGTAGAAACATATTGGTTACAAAATGATGCTGCCATGCAAGTTCTGTAATAAAGCGTACTTTCTTGCGTGAGACTGGATTGGCACCAGCGTAGCCATCAAAGACATAGACCTTATCAGCCAAGCTGTAATGCTTCGTCACATGTTCATATAGCTCGTCAAATATTTTGGCACTCACTGGTTGATTAATATCACCCCACCAAATCTTCTTGTTTGACGGTGTCTGATCAACAATGTACTTATCTTTCGGTGAACGACCTGTGAATTTGCCTGTATCAATCGTATACGTGCCATTCTTAATAAATGCACCCTCTCCATTCTTTCTCTCATGAGAAGCAATCTCTTCATAGCTCAAATTATGATGCACTTGAGTCTTGGCATTTGTAATGCCAAATTTTTCAATGTCAAGCGATGCCGCGTTGGCATTAGCAAAGGTACGTTGAGTCAAAGAAGAGGAGATAACAGGTGGCGACAACTGCACGTACTTCATAGCGTGAAGCTGCTGAGCTCGTAAGTTCTTACGCAGTAACGACGTGTACATTTCGGAAGTTTCGGATATGGACTTTAAGGCAAATTAAGATATGACCCAAGAGATCTAAGGTTCATGGTTGAAGTAATACTAAGTACAAAATGGTGGATGAAGATTGGAGGAAAATAGGAAAATGATAATTTGATCAATCCTCGCTTGATATATTGTGCACAGAAGACCCTACCCCTGTATTATTTGTTATTTGCTAGCTAAAGTGATTAAATGGGTAAAAGACGCGCTATGCTATGATACGATTGGTGGAAAGTTTTGTCGTTGTTGACACGAACGGATAGCTTCAACCGGCTTGTGTGTGCATGGCCGGGCAAAACATCGCTGACCACTAGTCTTGTCGTGTTTGGCACGGCGAAACATCAGCGCGTCACGCAGCAGTATTGAGCAATTGCAGTTCCGCATGATCTGGCACCAGCTGGAAAACCTTGTAGTAGCATTGTAGATCACTCACTATGATATATGGAAATTATTATAAAGTCTACCTTACTGCAAGGATATATGGATCGAATATATCCTTGCAGTAAGGTAGACTTTGTTTAGTATGAGCTCTAGAATTGCCAAGGGGTGGTGGCAAGAGACTCACTTGCGGATTGCACTACGCCGTGGCTTGCTACATGTGACGCGCTTCTATCACCATTAAAGGCAGACGGTCAACGTGACAGTCGCCTCAGCTTTCGATATGTGTGGCTAGATTGTCGTTAGCTGCTGGCTCAGCTTCTTCGTCACGTGCGTTAGTCTATATACTTCGCTATGTCTTACTGAAGTCGTATGTTGCCTTGTCCTTCCATTATTAGTCTGAAGGCTTCAGCGTGTGAGCTGACGTGGCGGAGGTTCGTAAAAACTGTTCTTGATCGAAGCGCTAGCTAGAGAGACAATGTGCGTATCAATCACCACACGAGTACCCAACAAAGCAGCAGAAATCGCTGCGGATGCACAAATTATGCTTAGAAGCTGTGCATCAAATGCTAAGATATAGTTGTTACCTGGGCGTATAGTTATGAGCTGTGCAATACACATCTATAATGAGTGCAAGTCGAAAGCTTCTATGACAAGATCCCCACAGTCTTAATCCCCCAAATCTAGTAATGCTTTAATGTCAGCCATAAGGATCGGGTCCAGAGTTGAGACGGCGCGCGGAGATCGAAGCTAGGATACTGCCATGACACAATGGAGCCACTTAAGCGAGTCGCATCACGTAGAGGACCATGCAGTTGCAAATGCAGCTACAGACGTGACTACGGTGCCTCAATCTTTCATTCGTTCGTACAGTGCATGACGTGAGATCTGGCAGAACACGCAGCACTGCGTTGGAGCATTGTATCAATCAACCCATCGAGAGTTTTCGTGACAACCTCTATGTATTTTTTGATCAAAAGTATCAAATGTTAGCAAAATTTTGTGCTTTGTGCCAAAAATTTTCGGTGACGAAAATACTGTTTTTTGTACCGGTTCAAGTACTGGAAGTATTTATTTATCCGACGGCGCGGGCAGACCAAGACATTCGCGACCCATGGAGCGCTTTTCACAATAGCTTCTTCATTTCCATTTGCGCAGTAAATGTAGCAAGCGTGCAGTCTTGATAGCAATGCTACTTCGATTCTCACATTCTTTAGCAGGATAAAAGCTGCACAAACGCTGGCTGCTCGTGACAGATCACGAAAGGATGTCCAGAATAACATTTACTTGCTCACACGTATCATTCTGACAATGCCATCCATAAATACGGCATCGAGCTATAGACGTTCTTGCACTGTAACATTGTTACGCGCCAGAACTGGATGACGCTTTGGTATTTAAGTGGATCACCAACAGGCTATCAACAGATTTCCAAACGAATGGGTGCAATGCTCTCCGTGCTTTGTATGGAAGCGCTTTGCCTTATGCATGCAACGATGACGGTGTGTGACATGATACAGCCTTCCTGGCGCACCGCTGGCGCTCGTGTGGGTTTACTATCTTTCAGTCTTGTACTGCGCCAGATGTTCATGCAGTTGTTATTGCAAACGTAATCGCAAAAGAAGTCCTCTTTGGCAATCCTGCTGGCCCCATTTTGAGATTGAAGCGGGCAGATGACACTTTTGAGACACTGTCGCTAAGATCTGGACTGTGCGCTTATGTTTGAACCTCATGCTTATATCTGGTGTGGTCAAAATCTGTCTAATATGGTTGGGCTCATCGCATACTTCCATTCGAGTCACAATGGTTGCCCATTCCGTCGATTGGCACGCAACGCAGACCCAGATAGTGTTGTTGCTGCTTTGGTGCTTCCGTCACGATAGTTTCAATTTGGATTTATGAAAAGAAACCCGATCACAAATCGCCTGATCGTAGCAAATACGTGGTTGGTTGGACGCTCATTGATGTCAATTGTTTTTTCGCACCTCATGCAATGCTACAGAGCGTTGATGGCATCTAACAGATTGTGTTGCATCGGATTCGATACCACCGCAAATTTCCAATTTGACCTGCTCATTATCTTACTAGCCCCAGCTTCGTAGATATCAACGACAGAGCAAGCACGGACAAAGGGATGCGTCAGAAAAATGTCAGGGGTCAGCATGATAATATTTAAGGCGCAATTACTTGTTGAAAGTGCAATGATGACAGACATTTTTCTGCTTCTTTTGCACGAAGCTGAAAGTAATTGAAACGATGATCCAGTCGGCCTGATTGTATTGCAAGAAAGATACAGCTGCTATTATCTACCTGAATCTGGATACTACCAATGTAATAGATACTCATTCAATGACTCGCGCTCACTTAATGCGGTTTTGTGGTGTGCTCAAGTTACTGGCAAGATTTGTGTTCGCTATCTCGCAATATGCCACATCGCTACGACTGCACCTATTCAAGAAGACGATGCGTAATATTGGTATGTCTACATCCTGTCTACAACAGCTACAAACATATGACTTCAATGATGTTTTTGCCATTCACTTTGGTGTCGGACCGACCGTTTCAGCAGTCATTGCTTTCGTGAGCCCGTCCGTCTCCTGCTTTAAGTGCTGACAGAAGACAATTGAGGCAACATGAGACATCAGCATGACGCCAAGCAGTCAATACTAACTGCTTGATAACGGTGCAGCACTCCATTGTGCATTATTGCACGCAAAGTTGAACCTACTGTTCAATTGGCTGAAATTCGGAACAAAGCTGTGACCAATGCGATTGGTGGGTGGCGGAGAGGAATGACCCGCCTAAATTTGCACTCTACACGACACCTTCTGCCTTCCGATTCATGTTTCGCTGGCGACGGAGCGGTGTTGGCGTTAATTTTTGATCGACACAGGGATGCAAACGCCAATGCTAGTGATCAGTAGCATGCTTTGGCCTTATTTCGCTTTCATCGTAGCCCAGTTGTACTATCGATGCGGCTTGTAGCAACATACTTGCCGCGATATCTTGGAAAGTGTAGCACGTATCGTGGTTACTTGTCTTCAGTATGCTTGCTGTGAGAACGGGTCTTGAAGAGCTTAATGATGTCGCCCCACCTGGTGCAAAGTAGGTTTTTAACTGGAAAAACCTTGAGAGCTCGGCAACCAATCATCTCTCGTTAGACACGTAGCATTCTGTGTATGCCTTCATTCCTGAGGAAGAAGAACCGAAGCAAAGAGGTGAGCGTGATGAGCAAAGTAGATGTGATATGAAGATGCAATGTGATTATTGGATGCTGGAGAGCCTTTTTGTTGCTGATATAGCTGATATTGACTGGACAAGCAACTGACATGCAACGGGGTATCTTTTTATGTTGTGCCGTGTGTGGGTCGCCTTTAGAGACAAGAATGGAGACGACTGCTGACCAACGCAAGTGCCACAACTGCGGCCAGTCCGGCCACATTCGCCGTGACTGCTCCGAGATTCCCTCGCAAGAGGGTGGATTTGGTAGCTATAATAGCAACGCTGCGTGTTTCGGCTGTGGAAAATCTGGCCACCTGAAGCGTGACTGCCCCACGAGTACAAGTGGCCGTGCGTGCCACAATTGCGGCCAAGTGGGTCACATCCGTCGTGACTGCGCTGAAGATGTGCAGCCGCCTAAGTGCCACAACTGTGGCGAGTCGGGCCACTTGCGTCGTGACTGTGCTCAGGAGCTGCGCGAGTCGCGCAAGTGTCACCACTGCGGCCAAAGTGGTCACCTCCGTCGTGACTGCCCCGACGACAGTGGCCCGACTGAGGACAAGTGCTATCAGTGTGGCGAGACCGGCCACTGGGCTCGCAATTGCTCTGGCATAACTGCATAAGCAATGCTGCTGTGAACGGTTTACCTGCGAGACGTAAGGAAGGGAAGGAGTGAGCGACAGAGGAGAAGGTAGAGATGTGTTCTGGCGCACGGATATGCCTGCTTTGTATTTGTATTTTCAATGAAATGTTCGGTCCTTCGTGGTAGCGAGACGCGTAGTGAAGGTACAAGAGAGTAAAGGAGATTCTGGACGTGGTAGTACGTCGCGGCTTTACGAAGTAGGGTCGCAGCGTGATCGCAGCAGCACACAGATTTCTTATTAACTAAACGAACATGTCGAACCAACACAAGTGTGCTGTACAGTGAGTCCCTATAATTATAAGCGGAATATGAAAACACTAAGTACATTATTTCTGCGTGTTGAGCATGCAAGGCTAAACTATTTGATAAGAAGATGGGTCGTCAAAGACATACTCGTTGCGTAAAACAATGAGCAAGTAAACGCGAGTATACAAATATATCTCGAGATAAAATCATCAACCGCTGCGTGCTGTCTCCTTTGCTTTGTTTGTTAGTTTTCTTTTCAATTCCTACGCGTCATTCATTTTTCAGCAGCAACAACAGTCATACACATGAGTCATATGCAATAACACGATCGAAACTTGAAGCGTTTACAAAACTCGAGATTCCGCATCTGCTACAGTCAGTCTCGCGTATTCAACACCTGTCAGGGTGTCGACGCATCATTTTCTCACTGACAGCAACAGAACCTCCTATTGCTTTGCATTGAATGCCGCTACCCTCGCCGCTAGTTTTCGGTCTCGTTCGTCCATCATACGGTCCCAGTCCGTCAACAGCTCCAACTTGCTCTGATATCGACATAGCATCAAATGAACCAATAATTTTGTAAACACTATGCGACAATAGACGTGTATACAGAAGAAAGCAGACATACCTGCATATTGTTACGGGCTTGCCATTTGTTGACAGCACTAAAACCCACGCCCATGAGCGAGAAGGCGACGGAAATAACCACAAGACCGGGTAATACTTGGTAGGGCATTTCTTAATGGTAATAAAGACGCTGCCAAATGGGAGGCGTTGCTTTCTCTCTTTCTCTCCCCTATCCCTAACCGGAATATTATGTCCACCACGTACTTTTTCAAATGAGATGGATACATTGCACTTGCGTGAAGAGTGAAGGTTATTCAATGTGGTCCACTCTCTGCCGCGCTAAACTTGTCCGCACTTGCCAACATGCAAGCAAATAAGGACACCGATTGGCATGAGGTATTCGCCGACCTGCTGGTGTTTGAGCAGGACTATGACACAGCTATGCATATACTTATGTATCAGGATGAGAAGGTGGCAAGACTGTCAGTTGAAAATACAGATCCAACGACAATTTTGCGCGCAAGACGCGTCAAACCTCACGGAAACTGCGTCTCGACGCCGCGGAGCACCAGCAAGAAGCGCAAAGGATCTGGGTTATCACGAAAGCCGCTTAAGAAACCTTCAAGTAGTTTATTGCTGAGCTTCACCACCTCATCTTCAAGTGTCTTTTCTCACGGTGGTAGAGAGACAAGGAGTGCGGACATTGTAGTACAAGACACTGGTACTTGCAATGACGCTGTCGTAAGTATTATGGGTACAGAAGCAGATTTTGTACCTGGTAAAGAGTCAGTAGATGTTGATATCAATGAGATAGTAGATGTTGATATTGGAAGCTCTGTACCGAGTGCGGACAAACGAACGGCGCTTGATCAGAAATGTAAGAAACTGCACAGTGGTATAAGCGGCGAGATTAAGGTGCTGAGTTTGTTCAGTACTGGGTCAGGGAAGACGGTGGCGGTGTCGAAGTCACGGCTGCGCGAGTATGAGGAGAAGTTGTGCAGTAAGGAGGAGTCTGTGCCTGGTAGCAATGGTATCAGCACGACGATGAGTAGCACGGCCACGGTGCCGAGTTTGTTCAGTACTGGATCAGGGAAGACAGTGACGGTGTCGAAGTCACGGCTGCGCGAGTATGAGGAGAAGTTGTGCAGTGAGGAGGAGTTTGTGCCTGGTAGCAATGGTATCAACACGACGATGAGTAGCACGGCCACGGTGCCGAGTTTGTTCAGTACTGGGTCAGGGAAGACGGTGACGGTGTCGAAGTCACGGCTGCGCGAGTATGAGGAGAAGTTGTGCAGTGAGGGAGGAGTCTGTGCCTGGTAGCAATGGTATCAGCACGACGATGAGTAGCACGGCCACGGTGCCGAGTTTGTTCAGTACTGGGTCAGGGAAGACGGTGACGGTGTCGAAGTCACGGCTGCGCGAGTATGAGGAGAAGTTGTGCAGTGAGGAGGAGTCTGTGCCTGGTAGCAATGGTATCAGCACGACGATGAGTAGCACGGCCACGGTGCCGAGTTTGTTCAGTACTGGATCAGGGAAGACGGTGACGGTGTCGAAGTCACGGCTGCGCGAGTATGAGGAGAAGTTGTGCAGTAAGGAGGAGTCTGTGCCTGGTAGCAATGGTATCAACACGACGATGAGTAGCACGGCCACGGTGCCGAGTTTGTTCAGTACTGGATCAGGGAAGACAGTGACGGTGTCGAAGTCACGGCTGCGCGAGTATGAGGAGAAGTTGTGCAGTGAGGAGGAGTCTGTGCCTGGTAGCAGTGGTATCAGCACGACGATGAGTAGCACGGCCACGGTGCCGAGTTTGTTCAGTACTGGGTCAGGGAAGACGGTGACGGTGTCGAAGTCACGGCTGCGCGAGTATGAGGAGAAGTTGTGCAGTAAGGAGGAGTCTGTGCCTGGTAGCAATGGTATCAACACGACGATGAGTAGCACGGCCACGGTGCCGAGTTTGTTCAGTACTGGATCAGGGAAGACAGTGACGGTGTCGAAGTCACGGCTGCGCGAGTATGAGGAGAAGTTGTGCAGTGAGGAGGAGTCTGTGCCTGGTAGCAGTGGTATCAGCACGACGATGAGTAGCATGGCCACGGTGCCGAGTTTGTTCAGTACTGGGTCAGGGAAGACGGTGACGGTGTCGAAGTCACGGCTGCGCGAGTATGAGGAGAAGTTGTGCAGTGAGGAGGAGTCTGTGCCTGGTAGCAGTGGTATCAGCACGACGATGAGTAGCACGGCCACGGTGCCGAGTTTGTTCAGTACTGGATCAGGGAAGACAGTGACGGTGTCGAAGTCACGGCTGCGCGAGTATGAGGAGAAGTTGTGCAGTGAGGAGGAGTCTGTGCCTGGTAGCAGTGGTATCAGCACGACGATGAGTAGCACGGCCACGGTGCCGAGTTTGTTCAGTACTGGGTCAGGGAAGACAGTGACGGTGTCGAAGTCACGGCTGCGCGAGTATGAGGAGAAGTTGTGCAGTAAGGAGGAGTCTGTGCCTGGTAGCAATGGTATCAGCACGACGATGAGTAGCATGGCCACGGTGCCGAGTTTGTTCAGAACAATGTCAGATAAGTTGTTTTTTGAGGAAAAAGTATTGTGGGCAAGTAGAAATGCAGTAATTGCTGGTGCCATTGAAGCGCGTTGGGATATTAGTGGGTCGGGTGTTACAAGGAATGGTGATGACGAGGTCCGGGTGGGTAAGCCGTGTGAAATTGGACTGTCGATGAAAATTCGAGCGGATGTGCTCGGCAGCCCACGCGATATACTAATGCATCGGGTTACTGACGCGAACGATCTTGGTCAAGTTAGTCGCTGCCGAGGTCGGATCGTTTCATCGGATTGGTCGCGTGAGAATGTACGTCAAATTGAACCCCACGGTAGTCTAGGCCGGGGCCTTAACTTTTGTGGTGACAAAGAAAACGTTCATCCTGAGAGTGTGCTTGATCGAGAAACCGCTGCATTAGAAGCTTCTAAGGCACGTGAATCAACGCTCACCTCAAAGCAATCAAGCTTGAGATTCGTCCGAAAGCATCGTGAGCACCAATATAATCGGCACCAAGCGGTGATGAAAAGGGCACTGAAGCCGTCTATCGAGCCTCACGCGAAAATGATTAGCGAAAGAAGACGATTTTACCCACCACTTCCAAGCAAGAGATTGTGCGCCAACGACTCAGGAGGCTTACAAGATTCTGTTCACCCTGCACCTCCAGGAAGCAAAAGGCGAAAGGCCGTTGCGGTTGGACCTGAACCTTTCGTTTATCGGGAAATTATGAAGGTTTCATTGACTTCCTTAATGAGGCCATATGAAGATCATAGCCTTGTTGAGAAAATTTCTGAGCGACATCGACGTGAAGTGCTAAACTGCGTTACTGCAGAAAATGCCGTCAATGTTTGCTTCGCTCGTGATGGTGGGTTGATGTGCTTTTTTGAAGTATCGTACGACAAGTCACTTTTCATGGGTCCGCGTGAGCTATACCGTCAACTCAGAGTGGAAAAGCAGATTTTGAAGACAATGGGGGCGACATTCACTTGGTTTTTGAACCACTATCGTTGGATTGTGTGGAAGCTGGCTGCAACGGAACGGTTCTTTCCTCGCATCTTGTTAAAAAAGTATCTGACGAAGGATCAAGTTTTGAAACAGATAACCTGTCGACATCAGCGAGAGCTGAACGATGCACAGCGCCCAATCTTAAAGCAAATTCTAAGCCGAGATGCAAGCTCGCGAAGCTGTATGGTCCTCTGCATTGCTGCAGTGCTGCCATTTCCAGCTGAAACGACCAATTTGGTCGACCAGGAACTTCCAGCCTGTTGGAATATGGCACTTGTTCTCACTGATGGGTGGCATTCTGTGTACGCTGTCCCTGATGCACCTTTAGCAACAGCATTGTGGAAGCTTGATGTAGCTTCAAGCATTGTTGGGACAAAACTTGCGACGTGGAATGCATCATTACAGAATTCATCCGAAGGAATTGATCCGCTGGAGTGTGCTATTGTTCGTGAATTGCAGTGGAAAAACCCCTTGTTAGCGAAAGAAGACCTGACGGAATGGCCATATTTACAGCTGCGTTACAACAGTACGCGTCGTGTGAAGTTTGATACGCGCCTGGGAGTGGAGAAACTACGCTATGTGATTCCTTCAAATTCCCGGCACCGAAAGCAACAGCCACAACTCACGTTTGCGTTGTTAAAGAGCATACCACTAAAGAGTTTAGAGGTCGGAGGTGGAATGGTTCGATCGGTGCGAGTCCGGGTAGTTCGCATTTCTCCTGTTCTTCATCTTCAAGCGAAGGAATGGACGCTAGGACCACGAATTCTTTGCAGCGAACAGCTGCCGCTGTATTTTGAGCTTCGGTCCGAGTATGGTAAGGCTGCCGCCCAAAAAAGACGCCAACAAGAAGACTTGGACAGCATAGGAGACGATTGGTCAGGTGATGATCAGATTAATATACCACTGCCAGTCCCATTTATTAAGGTGGACGTGGAGTGCACGCACGCTTCTGTTAACGGCTATGTCGGATCGGGTTCCGGCATTTTGACGATCTGGAGGCCTTCAGAGGAGTTGCTGTCCGGCGGAATCAAAGAAGGTATTGAATACTTTGTCAGCAGCTTGACCATTAATTGGAAGCTCGACGGCGGGCGCAACCATGATGCGTTCTTACAACTCAGTTCAACAAAGCTCACTAGGTTTGAGGAAGTTTGTGATGAAGTTTTACAGTCAGGTGATGAAGGCAAAAATGCTGCACAACTGACCCGAGGTCAACGAGTGTGTCTCGATGTCCAGCAAGCGACAATGAACTACCGAGAAAATTTTGAAGAAATATTGAACGGCCGGAGAAATGAACGGAGGCCGGCAATTGATGTCTGCGTTTACGTTGTGCTGGTTGCAGCTCGAGAAGCGCAAGATGATTTTATACCTTCAGTGGAGAGGCAGACGGAAGCTTCGCTGCTTGACCCCGGTATCAAGCTCAAGGAATCGCGTTATGTTGAACACGTTTTTGTCACAGACCAAAGCTGTCATTTGATGTGTATTCGCGTATCTGGTATGAATGTTAGCATGCCGACAAAGACAAACCAAAATAGCCCATTAGGGTGCGCTTTGTCTTCTTCGTTCGACTTTCGTCGAGGGAACAAGAGTATTTGGAAAGAGGGTACGGTTTTGTGTTTGAGTGGTTTGGAGATATCGCACTACGACGAGAAACTTCGTGTGTTAGACTGCGTCTTGGTTGAAAGTACGCAGATTGTGACTTTTCCCTCAAAACAATCCCCATACTGGAACCACTTTAACCTACTTCAGCGAGAAGCTGGTATTGTTGCGACGCGTAGTTCTTCAGTGCGCAACTTTGCAACAGTTATCACGCAACTGAAGAGGTACGTGGAGCGAGACATTCTGCAAGTGGAATGTGTCCCATTCAAGGCGTGCAACGAGCTCCATGTTGAGGCAGTGGAACAAGAACGGCTCACACAAGACGTACAGGCTTACGAAAGAGATGAAGACGTTACAGGGCAGGAAAGAGACGGCAAGGCATCCAGCACACTCCGACAATTGACGTGGGAAGCAAATGTTATCAAGATCATGCCATTGACTGGCGTTAGTAGATTGGTGTTCCCTAGTGATGTGATAGCATTTGCGTGTGTGAGCATTGAGACAGACGACGACACATTTCGGATGGTGTATCTGACTCGTGAAGTGATGCTATCGATGCAGACATTGCTCAAAGAAGTCGAGTATCGTCATCAAGAAGATGCAGCTAACGGGACCGATTTTGCCTTAGCGCAGACCATCACAGAATTGCTGGGCAAGACCACGATGTGCAATACAGATTTCGTCTTCCGTTTTGAGGTGCGTCAGTTCACAAACGAGCGTCTGATCAATAGCTGGAAGCCGTGGGAACGTCTCCATGCATCATACTGGATAGCAGAGACGATCACATCTACACGAATCCGATTATTGCGCTGATCAAGGAGGTTGAAACTTCGTGTGAAAAGGAGCTTCTGCGTTGTCGTGTGCAGATGAAGCGTCATGAGGCCTGCATGATGCGTGTCAATAGAAGTTGCTTCAGCTTACGGAGCCCAAAGATTGTACGCAAGATCGGTGCAAGCCTGTCGAAGTAAATTTGATCGCAAAGCGAGTACATCGTCACGTGGGCTTGATTATTATAATTAAGTGTTCGAAGTCTGGTCTCTTTGTACACAAACGACCATCACGGCGAGCAAAATCTCGACAGAATTTACGCCACGGGCTGCTGTTGCCACCTTTTCATCGCTCGTAAAGTTCGCTGTGCTCCTGCAACAAAGACCCTTTTAATTCGCAACCTTCACCTTTGTCATACTCGTTGATCGGGATTTCACCGCAACAGACCTCGGCAAAGTTGTGTGAGTAACCGCGATCAAACGGATTGTAAAACTCATCTGTAGAAGTCTTTAAATATGGATATTTGTCCTTGTTAAAGACTTCGTTCGTCGTAATATTGCGGCTTACATTGCGCAGCTGGATGACTAACAATGTCACTGTCGGCATACCAAAGATAAACCCACAGAGTACGAGGATAGCGTGGATACTATGAAGTAGAAAAGTTGAAGACTGTACATGCGAATTTGAGTTTCCAGCCGACGCCCATCGAGGTGGTTGCAACCATCGCCACGGCAACAACGCAGAACTGCCAGGATCAACTCCATTGATGGGGGCAGGCGGGTACAAAGGAAAATAACCCAGCAAAATACTCAGCGATATTGTGCTGATAGTGAAGCAGAAACTTGACAGCGTGGCAAGAAAAATCAGAAAACTACGGTGGTTGCCGATTCCCACGCAGTTGTTGATCCATGGACAATGGTGATCGAAGCGATGCACACAGCGCCTGCAGGCCGAGCAGTGCTTTGAACGCTGCGGCTTGCGTGTGACGCAGGTTGGACATGGCACGACGTTATCCTCCGTCGCTAACAGTTCGTAAGCGGGGCGCGTCGAGCGTGGCACATACCCCGGGTCCTTGATGCAAACGTACACGTAAATGATACACGTAAAGGTCACATATGCCAGCCCTGCTGTCTGGTATCGAACTATGTGAGCCGGAGAGTGATGCGGCAAACACGGCACTGCAAAAACGAGCGATAGCGTTGCTGTCGTAAATACCATTCCAAAAAAGAAAAGCACTGAGACACCTTTGCGCGAAGCCCAGGCCACCAATCGATCTGATGCACCAGCCTTCAAAGCACTAACCGTATCAAAATGAGCTCCTTGTCGTGCAATATCTATCGCCGTTCTACCATGTTTATCTTTGGCCTTAACTGGTGCTCCTTCAATGACAAGCTGTTTGGCAAGAAATGCATCTCCGAGAGCACTGGCGATCATAAGTGGCGTCTGCTTTTCGGAATCGCAAATTTTTTGGTTCGCTTTATATCCTACAAGTAACATCGCTGTGTATTGAAATCCCTCGAAAACAGCCCAATGTAGTGCCGTAGCTCCTCGGCTGTCTGTTTGATTTACATCAGCTCCATAAGACACAAGCAGACTCACAAGTGCTGCGTTGCCCGTACTTGCCGCATAGTGCATTGCCGTCATCCCAGACGAGTTCCTCGCATTCAACGATGCTCCAGACTCAATCAATGTGGTTGCACATGCCACTGACGTGCACAACATTAGTGCTGTTGCACGATGCTTGGATTCTCCACATTGACTATCCAGAAAATCCTGCAGTGTGTTACAACGACGTTCCTCCTTTTCCAATTCCTGAGTCTCCGTACTGGCAATACTGTTTGTCTCTTCATCCATCCCTTCCATCTCGTCTTTATCCGACACACACTCAATTGTACCGTGTCCATTTGTACGTGAATAAATATGTCTCTTCCTCATCTTCGTTAACGCAATTTTCTCCTCTTTTGGCAAATATTTTTTCGCCACGGACACCAAGTACGTTACTACCGTTGGGTATTCATACAGCACTGCAAGATGCAGTGCATTCATCTCATGCCGTGCTTCATGCACTGTCAAAAGACGAAAAATACTTTCCGCCACTCGTCGCTTCGTTGCTTGTGCAATTACTTTCTCGGTCTTCTCATCTTCTTTCACCTGTTCCTGTTTCTCTGTAGCTCGAAGAATAGCTTCACTTACAACCATTTCTACAGCAATCTGAGCTTGAAAATAATCTCCTTTGACACAAGCAGAGCCAAGGATTTTAGCCGGGGATGCAAAATACGCGTATTGATTCTCACGATAACTCATATCTTCGCCCTCACTCACTAGATCATCGTCTTTGTCTTGATGCACTAAGAGCGTTGATAAGTTACTAGATCGAGGAGGATTATGTTCATCTTTTGGTTCTTCTTCTTCTTCTTCATCATCATCTTCATTGAACGGAATAGTAAATGGAGAGAACGCAGAGGATGAAGGTGATGATGCTGCGTAGCTAGGTGATAGCAATGGAGCATTTAAATTTGTATGTGTACCACGAATTAATGGCGTTGATTCAGTAATTGTGTCAGGTTTTTGAAGGATTCGCATGATAGAAATGACACGTCGATCGTTTCAACTGCAATGGATGACGTCAGAACGAGGCGTAGAAGTCGTCTAAGAGAGAAGATTAGTTGTATAAAAATGGGGCATCTACAAATACAAATGGTAGTATAATGCAATCAAGAAGAGGTGGTAAGCAAGCTCAAATTGGACGGAGGAAGAAAAAGGATCTATCCAAGTCACTCCAATGAAGAAACACTGATGATACGAATAATACAGTGACCACTTGTCACTTGCGACATCCAAATGACCTTACGATAGTGTCTAGTCCGAATGAATGTGATCCATGTCAGTCTCACGAGGGTCGTAAGAATTAATATTTCTTGCTGAGCTTCGTATTCTTAAATCAGTGTCATCTTAATGGCTTTATCTTCTTCCGACGCAGCGACTGCATGGGACGTCAAGACGCAGGCTTTTCACGGTGGTCAGGACTGGAAATTCCTACGTAACTTTATCGAGGATTTTAGTGTAACTACCAATGCATTGGGTACACCTGAAAAAGCATTGGAAGCGGCTAGAGCGGCACTCAATACAGTGCATCACTATCCCCCGGCGGACTTTCAGCCAGCTCTTAGCCATTTGGCCAATTTTTTATGGCCAATCAACTCGCAGCAAAACTTGTCACTATTGCTCATGGGTAATGGAGCTAGTGAACTTATTGATCTGGTGATTCGTAGCGTACAGCGCGGTGGCTGGCGTCCAGGAAATACTGTGACGCAGTACAAGGAGTATGAACGATCTTGTCAAGCTGATGGCCGTGAAACATTAGCTTGGAATGATCCCAAGGCTGCATTAACGTGTGTTGTAAATCCAACTAATCCAACTGGTGATTACATGGACGTGGAGGAAATGAAACAGTACATTGCAACTAATTGCCCTGATAACCACACGATCATTATTGATGAAAGCATGCAACCATGGGTTGGACCAAAATGGCGCGAAGATTCACTTGTTCACCAACGTGAGTGGATCAAACAGCTCAGTGAAACCCGTCATATTAATGTCTGGGTCATGACGAGCTGGACCAAGATCTGGTCGTGCACGGGGCTGCGTATCGGTAGTGTTGTGGCCCCTACACCCGAGCACGCTGCAGAGATCAAGCGCAAGCAGGTGCCATGGTCAGTTAATTCCATGGCTTTGGCCTTTGTATCTGCTGTAGTCAAGGATGACGCTTACCTTCAGAAGACGTGGGATGTTACGCCCAAGTGGCGTCTACACGCGATTGAGCAGCTGACTAAACGCTTTCCAAACTGGGAATTCTTTGGCAAACCCTTCTTATCATGGATCTGGTTGAATACCAAGTCGGCTGACATAAGCGAAAAAGCCTGTAAGTTGGCCAAGGAGCATGGCGTACCTGTTCGCAGTGGTAAACCCGGCTACAACCTTCCTACTTTCGTACGCATCGCTGTCCGTAGTCCAGACCAGACGGCTGTGCTACTCAAAGCTTGGAAGCAACTTGAGTAAACTTTATGCTGCAAACATCAGCACTTTACTTCTTCTCTTGTTTTTTTCCTTTGCTAAAAGAGGATACATCACTAAAAACAACATGCAGCTCGGAGTGTTTACCATTGCAAATGTCTTCCTCTTGTCCACTTTTTCCATTACTCTCTGTCAGGCGACATACGATGATCTAATCGCTTAAACTTCCCTTCCCAACCTCGCACTATCTCCGTATATTTCTCAATCAAGTCATTTTTCTCTGCCAGCTCAGCTTCAAGGTTTAAAATTTCTAGCTCCAATTCGCTTTGTTCCTGTCGATCGACTGCCTTTTCCAAGCGCTCTCTCTCCACCTTTACATTGTCTCGAGATACTTTCATACTTACCGAGGACAAACTCTCCACATTGTCGTTCAGAAATAGCTGCTCCAATTGTTTCGCGTGCAGAAAAAACTCTTCGAGTCTTGTCTCAATCTCAACTGTGTCAGCTGCGTCTCGCACCGGGTTGAACCGGCAATGTGGAGGATACTGAATGGGGGGGACACACAAGAGATAGACAGCTAGCAAATGCTCCGTTCATATCTGCCAATGCTTTCTCACCTGGAGAAGTAGACGACGTTGTGACGTCAACGCGATTGTTTTCTTGTCTCGCTTCGACCTTCATGGCACAAAATGATTGATTGTAGGGAATTCAAAAACCAATAATTGTTCGTGATTGTGTAATGTATAGCAATCCCTATTTTATTGTCACCCAAATAGTGTTTCAAATTTCCAAAATGAATTTCTTTTGTATGTCCTATATCCCTGAGGTTTTACTTTTCCAAAAACTTGCTTTTTTTCATTAGACTTCTGAATTGTTTTACTAGTTTCAAGGGATTTAGCTTTTAGAAATGACTTTGGATGATCCTACAACGACAAATACCCAGTGCATTTTCTTCATGTCAGTCACTTCGTTCTTCCACATCCATCGAGTCATTGCCAGGTTCAATATCGCTTGCAAACAAATCATTAGCTGACTCACTATCGCTTGCAAACAAATCATCAGCCGACTCACTATCGCGTGCAAATGAGTCCTCACTTCTTTGGTGCCTCTCACCTCGTACGATTGTCGCTCTCCCTGTCATTTCCTCATCTTCCTCGTCGTCCTCGTCCATATCTTCTTCTTCCTCGCCCATTTCTTCCTCTTCTTCTTCTACGGATAAACTTGACGTGATTAACGTCACCTCCGAGTTTCTCGGCACCTCACTGCCTCGAATCACTTTGGATCCTGGTATTGTTTCCTGTTGCATCATAGTGCTGGAAGCTCCTTCACGGTGGAATTTGACACCAATGGGTACTGCCGCTCGGCGGTTTACCAACTCCTGTACCGTCTTTTCGAGCGCTTTCTCTTCGCACTCGAGCTCGTCTAGATCTTGGATGTAAGAGTCTGCTTCTCCTACACGAAAAGCACTACCATTGGCACCATAAAGCTCACTAATGCGTGGCGTCAGCGACGGAATTTCTGACCTGTAAGACGCCATATCAGAAACCAGCGCTAGTCGGTATTAATTCCGGTATTGGTAGATCGATCGATGTCTCTCGTCATATAGTCAAGTAGAAATAGCTTTTTTCAATTTACTTTATTTTCCGTATAAAATAAAAGTGTTCCGCACAAAATACCGAAACTAAAATGGTAACCACCGATGTGACTCAGTCTCCCTCAACCTTATGCTGTTAAGTCAGTTGTCAATTTTGATGCAATCAGTTGGCTCGTGTTACGCCTTCCAGAGTGCACACTAACACTATAGACCAGCAAATTTCCGCAGTTTGCACAAGCATGCGGGTTGTTCCCGGAAGAGTGAACATGGCTACATGCATCACATGCCATCCCAGTATACGTGGGGGCCAGAACAGGAAAACCGTTTACGTACTCACGCTGGATACCAAGCGCCTTGTCCAGCGCTTTCCAAAGCGGCAAAGCTAACGAACACGCTACTTCTCCACCTAAAATCTGCCGCACCGTTACATTAGGGCCATAGCATCTCGCGTTCAACGACTTGCGCGTGCAAATGACACCGCTACTAAGACCAATGCCACCGTAGAGTCCCTTGCTATGGCTGTACGAGTAATTTGGTGCAACACCACCACGCCCAACGTTTATTGCAGCGCTAGCAGCTCGACCAATAGGGCCTACAGCAATATCAAGCTCCGAACCTAGCTGCACTTGGCCATTTCTTGTAAAGACCTTGACAGCACTCCTTGAACTCAAAATGATCATGTAATTTACAACTTCACCGCCAGCCATCATACCGAAGCCAAAACCTCCTGATGTCAAAAAGCTTGGTGCCGACCACCCTCCAGTCGTACGCGATATGACAAAACCTGTTCCGATCTTGCCCGAAAACAAGAATCCCAATTTGTACATGGTGACAAACACCAATCCATACGCTTCAGCCAATAGTTCGTGTGGAATCGACTGGTCTTTCAACAGCTTCGGACACAGGAATGTCTCCATTACTTGTGCTGCTTTGTCCATATGCTTCTTCAATTTCGATGTAGCTTTCACACTCATGCTGTGGCCAACACCCGGTGCGTAAGAGCGCCTAGACTCCATTACCGCCAGCGAGTTAGAACGCTCTCGAAGCGCTGCCGCCACGTCTTTCTTCGACAAACAAGAGACATCGTCTGTCGTTCCCCGAGACAGCAGTGCATCATCGATCGTATCGGCTCTGGACAGCATCGATCGCTGCTGTTCTTCCTTGTACTTTTGCTGTAGAATCAGGGCTTTGGTAGACGGTTGACGTATACGGTGCGAGTAATGCTGCGAAACGCTACTGACTCGCTTTGGACTCAGCGACGATGGCGAAAGTACGTGACTGTTAGTCAATGATGCGACGTGCGCAGAGTTCATTATGGTGGAAGTCTTGGAGTGCCACCAATATGCTCGCACTGAAATTCTTTCAAAGTTCTTTCTAAGTATAGAGTTATGGATTTAGACATGGAACCTCCATACCAATGTGGATGACATAGATTTATGTAGTGCACACGATCATCACAATATGACCATACTAAACTTTATGGGAACAGGTTGCAGTCAAACATAGAATCTGCTTCTTTTTCTGATTTATTTTCGTCCCTTGCGAATGTCATTGCTGTACCCTACCATCACGAGCTACACGAATTACACGGCACACTCACGACTTCCGTTCCTTGCTTTTCTGGCTACTAGATCGGTTGCCTCCCAACCAAACTCCTGCACTTCCCTGTAAACTCGTAGCCTGCATCCAATAAAGCAGCATCATTGATGTACTTTGCTTTGATCTCTGCATCTGAATTCTTAGCTCCAATGCGTACGGTGCTCTTCATCATTTGCTTTAATACCCCACTTGACAGTGCCCACCAACAGAACTGCGGTCGGAATGAGCACCAGACCATTCTCCTTAATCTTGCGGATTGTCTTGTAGGGAAGCGTCGTGATAAGGCTGCGCACTGGATGCAACTCATAAGGTGATAGTTGGCGCGTAGTACGGCCAAATTCAGGGCCAAACTTGGACCAAAACTTGGTAAGATTAACGCTTGGCGGCATATTTCTTAGGACACTGTTGTCTTCCTGTGAGTTTCTGCTTCTGATCTGACTGTTACCGACGAGCGGCTATGAGGTAAAACCTCTTGCTGAATATAAGCAAGACAATAAAACCTCAAGAAAAAAGAATAATAGCTAATTAACGAACCGTTCGTAAGGTAATAAATACATCACTGCATTGCTAAAAAGCCACGTTTTACCGTACCTTCGTCATCGAATACAGTGTACGGTATACGTGATTTTAAATCGGTACGTCGCTGTCTATTCCGCTGTTAATGTACTCTCAAGAATTAATATAGTCTCATATCACTAGTATTTAGTCGAACGACTGCCCATCTTTCCTTCATTCACGTTTTTCCTTAGTAAAACACACTCACAAAAACTGTTGAGACAGACTGAATAGCAAGTCGTCCACTACGTAATCAATGACGTATTGTAAGTTTGTCCCGTTTGTAGCAGCAGCGCTCGTTGTTGCCACCGTAGTGAATAGCGAGCATAATGTACACTCCTATGGACAGAATGTCATGAAGAATGAGATTGTCCTGTTGTCATCTAGTAGCCTCGACGAGCGGGTCGATGGCAGTAAAGACACTGTCAAGCTGGAAGACGCAAAAGATGTAGAAGAGGACTCTAGCTGTAGCGGTAGCGACGATGGATACGAAGTAGGTACTGAGGTGGAAAACTCCAAGATTAATGAAGTCAAGAGTGACAAGGACGGTACGACCAAGGAGGAGTCAGATTTGACTTCTAAAAAGGAAGAACAAGTAGAGCAGAAGCAAGTAGGGGGATACGAAAAATACTGCCAATGTCTCTGAAACTTCACATGAAAACAAGAAGGCTGATGACGTAGACAAGTCGTTGAATGATGTGGAGGACGACGGGTCGACGTCAAAATCATTGAACAACTCAGTGGAGCTTTTGGACAGCGAAAAAGAGGAGGAGGAGGAGGAAGCGGAGGAAGAGGAAGATTTGGAAGAAATTGAGAGGGAAGAAATGGAACATAAGCACAAGCAGTACGGCAAGGGGCGGAATAGTGACGCTGTCAATACAGTGGCTAGTACTACGGACGATGCTTCCAAGCATGTAAAGAATAGCACGAAGGACGCGAACGGTGGCGCAAAGGACTTGATGAATGGCAGGAGCTCAACCCCTGCTTCTGATTTGAATGTTGAAATGGTGGATGTGGACGATCTTGATGGCGATGAGAAATCAGTCGGCTCGCACGACGGCGAGGTTGCGGACAAGAAGAAAAACGATGTCACTGACACGAAGAAAGCTGATGTCGCCGACGAGAAGAAAAGCTGATGCCGCCGATAAGAAGAAAGACGCCGGTGCTGATGTGAAGGAGAACGATGCCGCTGACAAGAAGAAAGATGATGCTGCTGACTCTGTGTCTAACGCTGTTGGCGATGGGACCGACCATGGAAAGAACGGAACGGAGGCCGCGGGCAAAGACGCTAAATCTGCTACAAAAGACGACAGTGCCAATAGTGTGATCGAGGATGAAGCTGACAATGTAGGGGACTTTGCAAGCGATTCGGACTCTAGCTCATGTTCGGGTTCGTCGGATGACGCAGTGACCGTAGAGCAGCAGCAGTTGGACGACGAGAGTGAGTCTTCTGCTAGTGAGTCTACTGAAAAAGAGGTCACCGACGAGAAGAAAGATGATGCTGCTGACACGAAGAAAGATGATGTCGCCGACGAGAAGAAAACTGATACCGCCGATAAGAAGAAAGACGCCGGTGCTGATGTGAAGGAGAACGATGCCGCTGACAAGAAGAAAGATGATGCTGCTGACTCTGTGTCTAACGCTGTTGGCGATGGGACCGACCATGGAAAGAACGGAACGGAGGCCGCGGGCAAAGACGCTAAATCTGCTACAAAAGACGACAGTGCCAATAGTGTGATCGAGGATGAAGCTGACAATGTAGGGGACTTTGCAAGCGATTCGGACTCTAGTTCATGTTCGGGTTCGTCGGATGACGCAGTGACCGTAGAGCAGCAGCAGTTGGACGACGAGAGTGAGTCTTCTGCTAGTGAGTCTACTGAAAAGGAGGTCACCGACGAGAAGAAAAATGATGCTGCTGACACAAAGAAAGATGATGTCGCCGACGAGAAGAAAACTGATACCGCCGATAAGAAGAAAGACGCCGGTGCTGATGTGAAGGAGAACGATGCCGCTGACAAGAAGAAAGATGATGCTGCTGACTCTGTGTCTAACGCTGTTGGCGATGGGACCGACCATGGAAAGAACGGAACGGAGGCCGCGGGCAAAGACGCTAAATCTGCTACAAAAGACGACAGTGCCAATAGTGTGATCGAGGATGAAGCTGACAATGTAGGGGACTTTGCAAGCGATTCGGACTCTAGTTCATGTTCGGGTTCGTCGGATGACGCAGTGACCGTAGAGCAGCAGCAGTTGAACGACGAGAGTGAGTCTCCTGCTAGTGAGTCTACTGAAAAAGAGGTCACCGACGGGATGAAAAATGATGCTGCTGACACGAAGAAAGATGATGTCGCCGACGAGAAGAAAACTGATACCGCCGATAAGAAGAAAGACGCCGGTGCTGATGTGAAGGAGAACGATGCCGCTGACAAGAAGAAAGATGATGCTGCTGACTCTGTGTCTAACGCTGTTGGCGATGGGACCGACCATGGAAAGAACGGAACGGAGGCCGCGGGCAAAGACGCTAAATCTGCTACAAAAGACGACAGTGCCAATAGTGTGATCGAGGATGAAGCTGACAATGTAGGGGACTTTGCAAGCGATTCAGACTCTAGTTCATGTTCGAATTCGTCGGATGACGCAGTGACCGTAGAGCAGCAGCAGTTGAACGATAAGAGCGTTGCTCTTTCTAGTGAGACCGTCGACGCGGGAGGTGCTGAGAAGTCTAATCATTTCATCGATATCGGTGCAGGAGTCGGAGCATGTGTTGGTCTCATTGCTGTGGCGTTCGCGTTTGTTATCCGAAATGGTCGTAAGCGTGGTACTGACATTGCAGCGAATGTGGACGAAGCTTCTGTGGTTATGGCTACTGAAACGAGTGCTGGCGAGAGTGAGTCAGATGACACTCTTGAGACTGGCGGCGATGACGGGACTGATACAAATGATGACGCCGGCGATACGAACGATGAGGAGGAGGAAGGTATGTTTGAGGGAGCTGCATAAGCACTAGAAGTTGTGTTATAGCGTCCTTTAATGATCTCCGTTAAATACACTTTACTTTTTTGTTTTAACTTACGTTTAAACATCAGTTCACTTGTTTTTTTTTATTTCGGGCTCTTACATATACTAGGTGTTTAGTGGGATTTTATTCATTATATAATAAATGACAGGAAACAGTTGAAAATCTAAAGCCAAACGGTAAAATACTTTTACGTATACAAAAACACAAGCAAACGTTTTGTAGGTATTTACGGATACAGCCCTGAATTTTGTTCTTAATTGAGAGTAGGTCCTGGATAAGAAAAAGTCGTATGTTGCTTAAACTCGTACCACTGACCGCATCGCATAATAGCCGCAGCGGATTTTTTTGCTAGTCAGAAAAAAACCAAACGTGTGTCCAACCGGCAGAGAAAACCAATTTTAAACCACAGAATCGATTTATTGTACAACTAGAAATATATGTATTCTTATAAGCGAATATAGCTATGAATTAAGCTTGTGTCTAACAGCGTTATTATTTCTAGTGAAGTTGGTTTTCAACTGATGAAACAAACGCACCTTTAGTATGTTATACTAAGACTTCATGTCGCGCATATGTTGAACTCGTTCGTTTCGTTCTCTCTCATTCCTCGATTTACTTACCAGACGACGTTGATCAACACTCGACAAAGTAGAAGAAGAAATACCAAAGTTTACCATGGCTTGTTTTCCTCTCATATCCACGCTCTTTTTGCTCTTATTGAGCTCTCTCTCCCTTCTAGTCAATGCTTTGGACTCGGCAAGTGACACTGTCGAGTCCCTTTTTGACTCTACAAAGGGTTACAAAATTAGCGGTAGTATCCTCGCGATTGCTGCGATTGTGGTCGGTGCACTAATGGTACTAATGGGTTATCGTTTTCTTCGTACCACTCTCTTTGCTATCGGCTTTGTGGTTGGTGGTGTTGGAGTTGCCATAGCTGTTGAACACATCTTTGACAGTAAATCATGGGTCATTGCTGCGTCTTGGATTGCCTTCGTAGTGAGCGGCTTTATCGTCGGCAGTATTGTCGTATCGCTCTACTCGCTGGGCATTTTCGTTGCTGGTGCTGGTGCTGGCATTGTACTTGCTATGATGATTCATAATTCTGCCGGCTATGCAATCTACCCAAGCCATCCGCAGGTAGTGTTTATTGTGCTGTGTATTGCTCTGGGCCTTATCGGTGGCATACTGGCTATTAAGCTCGAAAGGCCCGTGTTGATTACTGCCACTAGTTTATTTGGTGCTGCTATCCTGGTGTGGGGTGTTGGTTATTTTGCCGGTGACTTCCCGTCGTCCAGTGACCTCAAGAGATATGGATCACTTGACATTAACAAAAACTGGGTCTACTCTATCCCGGATGCCTGGTGGGGCTACCTTGTCGGTATTGTGGTGCTCTTCGTACTGGGACTGTTCATCCAGTTCCGGAGGACTGGTGACGGTGGCATGTACCACAAGTCTCACGCGATGGGACGTCACACTGAGGACGTGCAGTACGTAGAAGCGGGAACTCCACAGGAACGGTTTGACGGCAACCCTGTTAGCCACGTTTAATTTTCTTAAGACAGCGAGCTCAAGGTGCTTGAGGGTCCAAGCTTTGGGCAACACAATCAGTTAGGATGTACCTTAAAGCGCACCAGCAGCTTTCAGAACCGACACTGCTAACAAAAATCACTGACGAAACATTTGAACTAGAAGCGATGACAGAGCGAAGATTTATGCAGCATTTGTGTAAGAAAGCGTTCAACAGGCCCAGCCAGACACGTTGGATCTACATATGGTTCTAGCTCTTCTGCGTAGTCTCGTTATCGCATCGTCGCGTGGCAAGATCTGGACGCCTTAGGCAGCGTTAATGCCAGCTGTATGATCCCATTGCATCGCAATCTCCATACTATTCACCTGAACCGTAAAAAAGCAATTACTTTGACAAATCGTTTCTATATGCACTTTGCGATGTGCGTGGAACTCCACCGCGTGTTGTATAGGCTTTCGGAAGCGTGTTGTCGTCAGAGGTAGAACATGCAGGCTTTATGGCCAAGTCCATTAAATGTATCTAGTGCCTAATGTCATGTGGTTTGATGGTAGCTGAGCTTGTGCCGCATGGCGCCTAAAACCGGTGCAACGTAACATGGCAACCGCCATGAGCGTAAACAAGTTTGTATTGTTCAATTTTCGTAGCTCTGCAATATTCCGACATTTTTGGAAATGGCGCGTTCATCAATGCTTTTCATCATGTTCTTGCTGCAAGTGGCGCTTAATGCGTCTTGCGTGCAGGCAGCAGTGAACAACATATTACCCGCAAACGATTCAATCTTCGACTCGGCAAACAGAACTAATTTTTTCGGATACGTTCTTGCAGTTGTTGCTATTCTCGTTGGTGGTGGAATGATTGTCTTTGGCTATCGCTTCATGTTTGAGACTGTCTTTGCCATTAGCTTTGCTCTTGGGGCCATTGGTATCGGTGTGACTGCAGAGCGCTTGCTTGTCGGCGAATCCTTTTGGGCTGTTGGTTCCTGGGTTGCATTTATTTTAGGTGGTGTCGTATGCGGTGGCATGGCCATGTGGGTCCACCCGAAGAGCAATTTTATGGCAGGGGTAGCGGGAGGCATTACGCTTGCTATGATCGTGACCAACTCGGTAGCATACTGCATCTCTCCTGGTCACACTCAACAAGTGTTTACTATTCTTTGTGTGGTCTTTGCCGTCGTGTTTGCAACGTTTGACCTCAAGTGCGGCAAGCCAGTGGACATCATCGGGATCAGCACCTTTGGCGCTGCAATCCTAGTGTGGGGTGTCGGCTTTTTCGCTGGTGACTTCCCATTCCCGAACAACTTGGAGAAGTACTCGACTAAGAACGCAAACGGCAATATGGTTTACATCATTCCCACTATCTGGTGGGGATACCTAGCAGGAATTGTGATGATCTCAGCCTTTGGCATGTTTATTCAATTTCACAAGACCGGGCGCAGTCCCGTGGACGATGCGCTTGCGGATTTCGGAGCTAACGGTTTTGAGATTTCTATTGACGCTCTGCCGTATGTTGAAAACGACAAGCAGCGTCCAACGGTACCTATGATGAATCAGTCTGGAAACACTACACGGGAGTCCGACTTCTTGCCGTCGTCGTATCCGAGTGTTGTGCACCAGTCTTTCTGTCGACTTTACTCACGAAACACGGAGGCACAGTCGATCAAAAAGCTGAGATCAAATTTTTTCGAGGAAAGAGCTCAGTCTGTAGAGACTGAAAACACACTGAATGCTCGAGAAAGCTTGCCGTCGTCACAAACAAATTCTTTTCAAGAAGTGAAGAAAGAAGTTGAATTTTAAGGGGAAAGTAGTTGTGTTATAGATGCAGGGCAAAGACGCTTGTAAAGCAATGCTAGCTCTGATGTTTGAATGAGACGAGATATTATCGAATCACGCCGTGGGCCTTGACTTCCAGGATATAGTGAAGGCGGCATCTACAGGAAAGTAAGTGATCTACATACGGTTTATGCCTCGCCATTAAATGTTGATTAGACGAAAAGAGGAGGAACTTTGAAAACCAGAATTCAATCTCAATACATGTATGCATGTGAACGCTTTACGCGAGCCGTCTTGCCACCGAAGTGGCTCAACTTCTGCATGCGTCAGGTTATTTCTCCTTCTCTACATTTCTCTCCACTCTCGCCAGGGTCCATTAAGCGGCGCGCGCTATATGTGCCGCGCTGAAGGCCATCCAGACTGCACGATCCTGCGTACATTGGCGAAGAAAGTAAAGGTCTGGGGCCATTTGACGGCGGTGTCCAGCGTGGTTTCTTGCTTGATCCCTTGATGTCTATAGGGCTTGTCAACAGGGCCCAGGGCCTTGTTGCTTGCACCGTGAACAAAAAAATACGCGAGCGTACCTAAGCGGAAATGCCGGAATGCAGATGTGCTTTGAAATGCAGACCTTCTACAATTTATATAGTACTTAGGTAATCGATTAATTTATTGGTGGTAGGTAGTATGTAGAAAAAACGCCGATGGATTTTAACAAACTAGTGTCCATTTGATATCGAGAAGTCAGTGCTGACACAACTTGAAGTAGAGCTACTGTCACATCTAACAAGACGATTGCGAGATCAAAGCAGCTTTTATGTAGTCGCACGTGAATACTAAATTTGTGAAGCTCCCTGGTCTGTCTTTACTTGACTGGATATTTAAGAACTAGAACTTGTAGATCCATCCACCATTCTTGTTATACACAAGATCAGATTCAGCACAGAAATCAAGCGTGATTTCTACGCAAGTTGGCAGAATTACTGGAAGCAAAAGAATCACAGCTGGGTACGTCTGCTAAAGTTTCAAACCCACGTTATTCTCAAAGATCATTGAACCATTTTTATAGGAGTGACCAACGGGAGATTTGGCTGCAGGCGAGGCTTCGGCGATAGATCAAGGCCTAGTGTCAATGTCATGACGCCTGCGTTAGTACACCTTATTGCCAAATATTTGTCAGGCAATCAAGCGAAATATGACTGGCTTCTCTATGATAGAATCAAAAAAAAGCCGATCACAACTGAACTATAGGGCGGTAGGCGTGCGTGCTGGGACAGCCTGGACAGCCTCGTTTGCTGGTCGAAAAATTGCCCTGAGCTGAACTTTTGCTGCCCGAGCTAAACTTAGTGAGATTATAATCTTTTCAAGAAACGCAATTGCAATCACAATGCGTTTACAATTGATTGCTGTGCCGAATGCAATATGAAGTAAAGGATAGAAACATGAATATGAATAAACAAGAAGCTTGAATATATTTTACGGCATTAGCTTGCCCCAACAACGATACTTCTGCGATCCATCTTCCAGCAGACGAAGCACTTTAAAGGCCCAATATATCCCACGATTATCAATTTCATGTCAATTATTTCTTTGCAAACTTGAAGACATGAATCGCATAGAAAGTTTCAGTCAAATACTGCCGTGGATCGTCAGAGCAGCTGGTAGCACTGACAATTGATTTGCTTCCATGCAGCACCTTTCCTGAGTAGAGTTCATTTAATAATAGGCATTCAACCTCACAGACAATCTGGTCTGGAAACAAGTATCTTTCTACTTCATTATTTCTCAATCTTTCGTCTCCATGAGACTGTCAACTGCATTGGCATCGATATGGCCAGTACTGTTTCTCGCTGCGCCCTCTGCTGCCGAGACGGTCACTACCACGGACGTTTACTACCCAACTATCCTTAGCGCAGCCAACAATGTGACTGGGTTACCCGGTGGCAACGAGTTTTGCGGTACTCAACGTGTGCGTAAGCCTTGGGGCGCACTTGATACAACTGAACAAGCATTATATCTTGAAGCGACTAAAATCGCTATTGCTGATGGCGGTTATGCGGATTTTGCAGCAATTGCAGCTGACTCATTGGGCCAGGCCCAAGGGGAATATTCTTGCGCTTTCTTCACGTGGCATCGTCGGTTACTATTGGCTTATGAGTCGTATCTTCGTGATCTTGACGACCGTTTCGCATGTCTTACATTACCTTACTATGATGTACATACTGCTTACATTCAGACAGTTAATGGAGAATGTACCAGTATGTTTGAGTGTAGTGGTATTTTTGATGCTATTGGTGGAGCTCCTAATTCGACTACTGAGATGACATCAACATTCAATGGCATTAATGCGACTGGTTATGCTATCACCGGTGAACCCTATGATAACCTCTGCAATAACAACGACAATTGTAGCTCCATTGTCCGTGACAATTTATTCAACAAATCGATACCCAGTGCTGCTAGTTTCAGTACATTTCAAAGTGTAGTAGCCACATCGGGTGACTATGCAACGTTCCTGCAAGGAATTCAATATGGTGTACACAATGAAGTGTTGAATGCAATTGGTGGTACTCTGTCCACAGCAGTGGCTGCCCGTGATGCATTATATTATTCATGGTACTCGTCTATTGATATGTACTTGCATGTGTACCACTTGTGTCGTATTGGTGTCCCTCTCACGATTGTTGAGATCATCGAGTCGCTTGAGGTGTTTGCCAATGTCACGCAGACTTGCGGTGGCCTTAAGGGTGTCGATGCAGAGTCACCTCTCATCATGCGAATCGCAGTCGACGGTAAACTTATGGATGCGTCACAGCACCCGAAGATCGGTCAATACTTTGGGTATGTTGGTAGTGACAGTTGGAATTACGTTGACATTCAACAGCTCGGAGATTACTCGTACACGTACCAGTTACCGGAGGTGCTGCGTCAGCAAATCCTAAGCAACAATGACGTCTGTACGGGTTTCAACCGTGCATTTGCTGCGTCGTACACGTCACTGAACGCTTCTGCTGTGAAACGCACGATGACGAGCAGGACAACTACTAAAACAACAACTACTAAAACGACCCAGATTGTGAATGGCACGAGGGTAACGACAACTAGAGTAGTCAAGGAGGTGACGAGGGCAAATAGTACAGCAGCAGTGACTGCCAAGTCAACGGTTACAAAGGGCCATCTCATCAGCAGATACAATTACACGTATCTGGGCAACTTCAGCACGAACGATATGGCTTTTGGCGAGGGCACTTATGTCTTTAATGGCTACATAGGCTACACGCCATACTACAGCAACGGAGCAATCACGACAAAGCATAATGGTATCGTAAGTGTTAACCACTCTTTGGGTGCCAACTCGTTTACTTCGACATCTTCCTCGATCGCCTCAGCTCAAATAGACGCAACGTACTCTAACATATCAAACGTGGTGGCAAACTTAACGGTGGGCACGCGTTTAGTGGCTCGTAACATTACGGCATCTGTGGCTACTTCTGGCAGGTACTGGGCGTGGCTACAGACGGCGTATAACGGCCTGTACACTCGGTTTGAGGGTAACGTGGATTTAGTGGCGACGCATATGAAGTTGCTTGAGTGCTACACGTTTGACAGTGTGTATGGATTGTCCAACCTTACGTCCACTTTCGTAACAAATAAGAACTTGGTAACAAACCGAGTGTCATGTCGTCAGCGTCTAGACCTTGTGCGTTCGGGTTTACTGCAATTGGCAGTGCGTTCAACCGCCTATACCGTCGGAAGCTTGAGATTCGCTAACTCGACTGTCATTAGAACCATCCTCACGTCGTACAGGCGCGTGACCACTCGTAACGTGACGTACGTCCGTGGTTCGTACATTCAACGTATCCGGAAAAACCTTGACGCGACCCAGCAATCTCTGGACAACGTCACTGTTTTTTCGATCAATGAATCAGGCAACGACGAGACATTAGAAATTGTTACGGAAACCGGCTTCGTCAAGTCGGACTCGACGAGCATAACGCAGCAAAGCGCCACAACTACGGGTGCTGCCAAGATTACAACTAGCTCCATCACCACCACCAATACGACAGCCGATGCGTCGGAGATCTTACCTGAGGCGTCATCTGGACCCAAGGACCAAACCACCACTTCCGTTACAAATGGTAAAACGCCAGGGACGATGAACCGAAGCACTGCTTCCACCACCACTGTTGGAACGCCTGTGGCGCCAGTGACGACGAACCGAAGCACTGCTCCCACCACCACTGTTGGAACGCCTGTGGCGCCAGTGACGACGAACCGAAGCACTGCTTCCACCACAATCGGTGGAACGCATGTGAAGACGGTCCAAACCACGAATTTGTCTGATACGACTTCAACCTCGAACACTTCAAAAGGAGGCAAAAACACGCCGACTGCCATGGGCCAGATGACTACCACGACTAGCTTAAACGACGAGACGACTAAGACGACAACCGATTTGAAGGATGAGACCACGACCATCCCGACCTCCATAACCTCAAACGGTAGCCATGTCCAAACAAGGACTACAGAGTCTGGCGGCTCAGTTGAGTCGAACACGGCAGTGATGACTGCACCATCATATGTTCAAACTACAGCTCCGGAATCTTCGCCCGGTACGAGCTCGAACGCGAATAATCTCTCCACAACAATTAAGTCCAGTGCAGCAACTCCTTACACAATGCCAGGTGCGACGACGTCAGACGTTATGCCCGCGCCTACAGTAATAGTGATGACTGAGACGTGCATCGAAGTGTCTGTGGAAGGTGACGCGACGTACTGCATTGAGGGGCCAATTTGCAGTGGTTTTGGTGACTCGCCTCATGGGTCTAGGTGTCCTGTGAAGGGCGACGTTGCCAACCAGGACTGCTGCCAGACGCTGGCTAGCTACACGACCTCTGGAACTTGTGTGTCACCTAAGGATGCTCAATGTGCGAAGCTCAAAACTGGCGCCTGGGGATGTGTTGTCGACTTGGAGGAGACTCCAACTCCTAATCTGACTACGACGGAGACTGATACGACTCCTGCTCCCATCACGTCGGAAATGCAGAGCCCGACGCAAGCCTTTAGTGCGCCGGGCCCGACGAATTCGATACCGACTACGTCACAAACGACGCAGCCTGCACCAGCCCCGACGACGTTAGAAACTGAGCACCCTACACCTTGCCAGACTACGCCGGTATCGACGAATCCGATACCGACTACGTCACAAACGACGCAGCCTGCACCAGCCCCGACGACGTTAGAAACTGAGCACCCTACACCTTGCCCGACTACGCCGGTATCGACGAATCCGATACCGACTACGTCACAAACGAAGCAGCCTGCACCAGCCCCGACGACGTTAGAAACTGAGCACCCTACACCTTGCCCGACTACGCCGGAACCGACGAATCCGATACCGACTACGTCACAAACGACGCAGCCTGCACCAGCCCCGACGACGTTAGAAACTGAGCACCCTACACCTTGCCCGACTACGCCGGTATCGACGAATCCGATACCGACTACGTCACAAACGAAGCAGCCTGCACCAGCCCCGACGACGTTAGAAACTGAGCACCCTACACCTTGCCCGACTACGCCGGAACCGACGAATCCGATACCGACTACGTCACAAACGACGCAGCCTGCACCAGCCCCGACGACGTTAGAAACTGAGCACCCTACACCTTGCCCGACTACGCCGGTATCGACGAATCCGATACCGACTACGTCACAAACGACGCAGCCTGCACCAGCCCCGACGACGTTAGAAACTGAGCACCCTACACCTTGCCCGACTACGCCGGAACCGACGAATCCGATACCGACTACGTCACAAACGACGCAGCCTGCACCAGCCCCGACGACGTTAGAAACTGAGCACCCTACACCTTGCCCGACTACGCCGGAATCGACGAATCCGATACCGACTACGTCACAAACGATGCAGCCTGCACCAGCCCCGACGACGTTAGAAACTGAGCACCCTACACCTTGCCCGACTACGCCGGTATCGACGAATCCGATACCGACTACGTCACAAACGAAGCAGCCTGCACCAGCCCCGACGACGTTAGAAACTGAGCACCCTACACCTTGCCCGACTACGCCGGTATCGACGAATACGATACCGACTACGTCACAAACGACGCAGCCTGCACCAGCCCCGACGACGTTAGAAACTGAGCACCCTACACCTTGCCCGACTACGCCGGGATCGACAAATCCGATACCGACTACGTCACAAACGACGCAGCCTGCACCAGCCCCGACGACGTTAGAAACTGAGCACCCTACACCTTGCCCGACTACGCCGGAATCGACGAATCCGATACCGACTACGTCACAAACGAAGCAGCCTGCACCAGCCCCGACGACGTTAGAAACTGAGCACCCTACACCTTGCCCGACTACGCCGGAATCGACGAATCCGATACCGACTACGTCACAAACGATGCAGCCTGCACCAGCCCCGACGACGTTAGAAACTGAGCACCCTACACCTTGCCCGACTACGCCGGTATCGACGAATCCGATACCGACTACGTCACAAACGACGCAGCCTGCACCAGCCCCGACGACGTTAGAAACTGAGCACCCTACACCTTGCCCGACTACGCCGGAACCGACGAATCCGATACCGACTACGTCACAAACGACGCAGCCTGCACCAGCCCCGACGACGTTAGAGACTGAGCACCCTACACCTTGCCCGACTACGCCGGAACCGACGAATCCGATACCGACTACGTCACAAACGACGCAGCCTGCACTAGCCCCGACGACGTTAGAAACTGAAATCGCGACCGGGTCGACTTACGCCGAAGGTTACCCTATTCAGCAGCAGACGTCGTTGGACCATTCTACTACAGCGGTGCGCATCGTGCCGCTTGCTACGTCATTTGACAACTTGAAAAATAGTGGTGGTGCGTCTGTTATTGTACTTGTGGGTATTCTTGCCGCTGTTTTCGCTGTTGTTGCACTGGCTGGCTTTACTGCTTACAAGATGAGGCAGCAGCGCTCTAACGATGTAGATATGCCACTCAGCGGGTACTACGTCCAACCTGTCACTCCAATTAGTCGATCTGTTAAGCTGTAGGCGGACCACAGGTTTGTAGATGTGATAAGATGTGTAGGTGGCTTTTTCTAAGTCCTTCCTACGCTGTGCAAAAGCTTGTTTAGCTTATTGTTCAATTGCATTACGTCCATCCTCTTTTAAAGTGTTTACACGTCATATGTCTTGTCATTATTGTTGGTACGACTCGAGAGAAAAATTACAGTGTCGAAGTGAGTTCATGCTCATGTCAGTTTAAACGCAGCTCAAGCGACCTTGAATTCAGATTGTGCAGCTTGACTAGTGGTATGAAAACCGTTTGCATAGCACTGATCATGTGACTGCGTGTACTGGATATTTGCAAAATACTTTGAAATGGCTCAGAAAAGTGAGGTGGCGCGATGAACACGTGACCGCATGCAGCAAGATAGCCTGCTTTCACATCCTTTCGACTCTTGTCTTCTTATCGCTATCATAAGCATGGATAGCGCCTCACGTGCGTGGCAATTTGACGTTAACTTTAAAGTATTGCACAGTACTACACGGCACAGGCTTCTGCTTGATCCAGGAGGAACAACCAGCATTAGGAATGTCAAAAAACGAAAGAACGAGCTACGCCAAAAACGTGTTGTTGTTCTTGTTGATCTGGCGCTATCCGTACCCATCAACTTGTTTCAATTGTAAACGACTTTAACGCTCCGTTCCAAGCCGTCATGTATCTAGCTCTCACCTGCCGTGAAAGTTGTCAACATCCAAACTCCTCTTCAAACGTTTCTAACGACAAATGCGCAGAACTATCACACGCCAATTCTTCGTGCTTTTACTGACCGCAGCACTTGTCAGCACTTCACTGCCAGCCGCTGCAGATAGACAAGATGAGATTCGAGCAGGTGGCAATGCAGCTTGCAGCCAGGGCCAACGAGCCCTCGAGACTCACTTCAAGTGAAAAGCATTTCTACCTTCAAGCCATGGATAATGCGATCCAAAATGGAGTGATTGAGCAGTTTGCTGTCATCCACGTTAATCCGAATGGAGAATCGCAAGCTCACAGTTCATCGGTTTTCTTCTTGGAACCGACCTCTTTGGTCGCTCTAGAAAGTTAGCTTCGTGACCAAAATCCGAAGTTTGCTCGTGTAGCTCTGCCGTACACGACGTGCATGCTGCATTTGTTCGCCAGGCGATTTAAGAGTGCAGCAATATGTATGAATGCTCAGACATCTTGCAGGAAATTGAAGGCAAATACAGCTCAATGCGACAAAATTTCATTGACACTGATGGCAAACGTCTACCGGCTAACCAGCTGATGGTTATTCGTTGAATTACAATTGCGATCACAACAAGGTGCGCGGATACACAACTCGGAGTGGCTTGACTACGAAGCCTGTACCGTTACAAGAGTAGTAGGAGGCAACCATCACCACCACCATTTTTCGAGTTCAACGAGGGGCCCGAGGTCGCTGTCGTGGCAGCAAATGATGCAGCAAGCGGCTCAATGCGCACCGCTGTAGTAGTACGGTCCAACGACGTCTGCTGCTGAATAGAGTAACTGTTGTCGTAAGTCGTCCCGGTCACGATATCAGTTTCTGGTTTTTGCATTTCTGACGTGGTTGACATCGGCTTCGTCGGTCCCGGCGTAGTCGAGCAAGGTGTAGGTGCTCAGTTTCTAACGTCGTCGGGCTGGTGTAAGGTGCTTCATTCGTGACGATCGGTATCGGATTCGTCGGTCCCGGCGTAGTCGGGCAAGGTTAGGGTGCTCAGTCTCTAACGTCGTCGGGGCTGGTCAGGCTCGTCATTTGTGACGTAGTCGGTATCGGATTCGCCGATTCCGGCGTAGTCGGCAAGGTGTAGGGTGCTCAGTTTCTAACGTCGTCGGGGCTGTGCAGGCTCGTCGTTTGTGACGTAGTCGGTATCGGATTCGTCGGTCCCTTCGGGCAAGGTTAGGGTCTCAGTTTCTAACGTCTCGGGGCTGGTGCAGGCTGCGTCGTTTGTACGTAGTCGGTATCGGATTCGTCGGTTCCGGCGTAGTCGGGCAAGGTGTAGGGTGCTCAGTTTCTAACGTCGTCGGGGCTGGTGCAGGCTGCTTCGTTTGTGACGTAGTCGGTATCGGATTCGTCGATACCGGCGTAGTCGGGCAAGGTGTAGGGTGCTCAGTTTCTAACGTCGTCGGGGCTGGTCAGGCTGCTTCGTTTGTGACGTAGTCGGTATCGGATTCGTCGATACCGCGTGTCTGGCAAGGTGTAGGGTGCTCAGTTTCTAACGTCGTCGGGGCTGGTGCAGGCTGCGTCGTTTGTGACGTAGTCGGTATCGAATTCGTCGGGCCCGGCGCACTAAAGGCTTGCGTCGGGCTCTGCATTTCCGACGTGATGGGAGCAGGAGTCGTATCAGTCTCCGTCGTAGTCAGATTAGGAGTTGGAGTCTCCTCCAAGTCGACAACACATCCCCAGGCGCCAGTTTTGAGCTTCGCACATTGAGCATCCTTAGGTGACACACAAGTTCCAGAGGTCGTGTAGCTAGCCAGCGTCTGGCAGCAGTCCTGGTTGGCAACGTCGCCCTTCACAGGACACCTAGACCCATGAGGCGAGTCACCAAAACCACTGCAAATTGGCCCCTCAATGCAGTACGTCGCGTCACCTTCCACAGACACTTCGATGCACGTCTCAGTCATCACTATTACTGTAGGCGCGGGCATAACGTCTGACGTCGTCGCACCTGGCATTGTGTAAGGAGTTGCTGCACTGGACTTAATTGTTGTGGAGAGATTATTCGCGTTCGAGCTCGTACCGGGCGAAGATTCCGGAGCTGTAGTTTGAACATATGATGGTGCAGTCATCACTGCCGTGTTCGACTCAACTGAGCCGCCAGACTCTGTAGTCCTTGTTTGGACATGGCTACCGTTTGAGGTTATGGAGGTCGGGATGGTCGTGGTCTCATCCTTCAAATCGGTTGTCGTCTTAGTCGTCTCGTCGTTTAAGCTAGTCGTGGTAGTCATCTGGCCCATGGCAGTCGGCGTGTTTTTTGCCTCCTTTTGAAGTGTTCGAGGTTGAAGTCGTATCAGACAAATTCGTGGTTTGGACCGTCTTCACATGCGTTCCACCGATTGTGGTGGAAGCAGTGCTTCGGTTCGTCGTCACTGGCGCCACAGGCGTTCCAACAGTGGTGGTGGGAGCAGTGCTTCGGTTCGTCGTCACTGGCGCCACAGGCGTTCCAACAGTGGTGGTGGAAGCAGTGCTTCGGTTCATCGTCCCTGGCGTTTTACCATTTGTAACGGAAGTGGTGGTTTGGTCCTTGGGTCCAGATGACGCCTCAGGTAAGATCTCCGACGCATCGGCTGTCGTATTGGTGGTGGTGATGGAGCTAGTTGTAATCTTGGCAGCACCCGTAGTTGTGGCGCTTTGCTGCGTTATGCTCGTCGAGTCCGACTTGACGAAGCCGGTTTCCGTAACAATTTCTAATGTCTCGTCGTTGCCTGATTCATTGATCGAAAAAACAGTGACGTTGTCCAGAGATTGCTGGGTCGCGTCAAGGTTTTTCCGGATACGTTGAATGTACGAACCACGGACGTACGTCACGTTACGAGTGGTCACGCGCCTGTACGACGTGAGGATGGTTCTAATGACAGTCGAGTTAGCGAATCTCAAGCTTCCGACGGTATAGGCGGTTGAACGCACTGCCAATTGCAGTAAACCCGAACGCACAAGGTCTAGACGCTGACGACATGACACTCGGTTTGTTACCAAGTTCTTATTTGTTACGAAAGTGGACGTAAGGTTGGACAATCCATACACACTGTCAAACGTGTAGCACTCAAGCAACTTCATATGCGTCGCCACTAAATCCACGTTACCCTCAAACCGAGTGTACAGGCCGTTATACGCCGTCTGTAGCCACGCCCAGTACCTGCCAGAAGTAGCCACAGATGCCGTAATGTTACGAGCCACTAAACGCGTGCCCACCGTTAAGTTTGCCACCACGTTTGATATGTTAGAGTACGTTGCGTCTATTTGAGCTGAGGCGATCGAGGAAGATGTCGAAGTAAACGAGTTGGCACCCAAAGAGTGGTTAACACTTACGATACCATTATGCTTTGTCGTGATTGCTCCGTTGCTGTAGTATGGCGTGTAGCCTATGTAGCCATTAAAGACATAAGTGCCCTCGCCAAAAGCCATATCGTTCGTGCTGAAGTTGCCCAGATACGTGTAATTGTATCTGCTGATGAGATGGCCCTTTGTAACCGTTGACTTGGCAGTCACTGCTGCTGTACTATTTGCCCTCGTCACCTCCTTGACTACTCTAGTTGTCGTTACCCTCGTGCCATTCACAATCTGGGTCGTTTTAGTAGTTGTTGTTTTAGTAGTTGTCCTGCTCGTCATCGTGCGTTTCACAGCAGAAGCGTTCAGTGACGTGTACGACGCAGCAAATGCACGGTTGAAACCCGTACAGACGTCATTGTTGCTTAGGATTTGCTGACGCAGCACCTCCGGTAACTGGTACGTGTACGAGTAATCTCCGAGCTGTTGAATGTCAACGTAATTCCAACTGTCACTACCAACATACCCAAAGTATTGACCGATCTTCGGGTGCTGTGACGCATCCATAAGTTTACCGTCGACTGCGATTCGCATGATGAGAGGTGACTCTGCATCGACACCCTTAAGGCCACCGCAAGTCTGCGTGACATTGGCAAACACCTCAAGCGACTCGATGATCTCAACAATCGTGAGAGGGACACCAATACGACACAAGTGGTACACATGCAAGTACATATCAATAGACGAGTACCATGAATAATATAATGCATCACGGGCAGCCACTGCTGTGGACAGAGTACCACCAATTGCATTCAACACTTCATTGTGTACACCATATTGAATTCCTTGCAGGAACGTTGCATAGTCACCCGATGTGGCTACTACACTTTGAAATGTACTGAAACTAGCAGCACTGGGTATCGATTTGTTGAATAAATTGTCACGGACAATGGAGCTACAATTGTCGTTGTTATTGCAGAGGTTATAATAGGGTTCACCGGTGATAGCATAACCAGTCGCATTAATGCCATTGAATGTTGATGTCATCTCAGTAGTCGAATTAGGAGCTCCACCAATAGCATCAAAAATACCACTACACTCAAACATACTGGTACATTCTCCATTAACTGTCTGAATGTAAGCAGTATGTACATCATAGTAAGGTAATGTAAGACATGCGAAACGGTCGTCAAGATCACGAAGATACGACTCATAAGCCAATAGTAACCGACGATGCCACGTGAAGAAAGCGCAAGAATATTCCCCTTGGGCCTGGCCCAATGAGTCAGCTGCAATTGCTGCAAAATCCTTCAGCAATAGCGCTTTTAGTCGCTTCAAGATATAATGCTTGTTCAGTTGTATCAAGTGCGCCCCAAGGCTTACGCACACGTTGAGTACCGCAAAACTCGTTGCCACCGGGTAACCCAGTCACATTGTTGGCTGCGCTAAGGATAGTTGGGTAGTAAACGTCCGTGGTAGTGACCGTCTCGGCAGCAGAGGGCGCAGCGAGAAACAGTACTGGCCATATCGATGCCAATGCAGTTGACAGTCTCATGGAGACGAAAGATTGAGAAATAATGAAGTAGAAAGATACTTGTTTCCAGACCAGATTGTCTGTGAGGTTGAATGCCTATTATTAAATGAACTCTCCCTTGAAGATGGAAAATGACGATGTAATAATCACAGCTAATAGAAAACCTCATCGATTTCATTTTCTTTACCAATACTAAGGCAAAAGATAGAGCAAATTCATGTTGATGGCAATGCCAATCACGGCTGACGGTCTCGGACTTTAATCCGTCCGTAGTGATAGCCACTTATCTTCATCATTCAAGCAATTTACTACAGCGTAACTAACAGCTCGTATAGAATGCAAATAACGACAGCTTTGATTATGCTTGTAAACTACTGCAACTATGAGTGAAAGCTAGCAAACGAGATCTAGAACCACTACCTAATTTCAAAAGCCTACTCTCTGTCATTTCTGCGAAAGACGCCAAAAACTATCCACCGCCTAGATTTACCAGCTTGCCGGACATTCTTCCACCCTCACTCGCAACGATTCCACCGAATGTTGAGATTCTGCACCGTCTATCTCGGCAACAACTTCATCCTTCGTTTGTAAAATTTATTTAATTGGCCGAGCTACAAATATCTCAGAATCATACTCCATCGGCCAATGTATATCCGATGTAAACAACAGGCGTGCCAAGAAACCGTTGCAATTGAACTGCATCAAATATCCGTCCTTAATTTCTTGAGCTTAAGCAGGAGCTATACGCCCGAACACTTCTATCGACAAGGCCAATCTAGGAATCTTCAAGAACATGAGCACTCTCCCCGTCTCCAGAATCCCTCTTTCTTTTATTGTCCTTGAGCAGAGTCGATTTCATCGGCGCAAGGCCATTCTTGGGATCTTCAAGAACATGAGCACTCTTTCCGTCTCCAGAATCCCTCTTTCTTTTATTGTCCTTGGGCAGAGTCGATTTCATCGGCCGATCGTCGTCACCGGCAAGGCCATTCTTGGGATCTTCAAGAACATGAGCACTCTCTTTATCTCGTGATTTACTCATTTTACCTTCGTGTTTTTTCAACGCCTCCATAAGACGATCAAAATCGTTCGGCCAAAGAGAACTCTTATGGTCTTGAAGAATTCTATAAGTCGCGTCATATCTGTTGCTCGCCACCATTTTGTCCATCAACAACGTGTACGGGTCTAATTTCGCACCTTTGCAGAATGATTCCCACTCCTGGAACAAAGGAGCCTGCAGTATGTTCTCCTGTCTTTCATTATAGTGCAGTAGCTTGAGGGCATAGACAGGATTCGCATGTGGTTGTTCTCCCAAGTAATACATTTGCGCATGCCGCAAGCCGTCAAAGACGAGTTCATCTTTAGTGGAAAATCTCTGCCTGTTTTCGAGCAGTAAACGCAGGCCCTTATTTCCAAAACGTCGTGTCAAAAAATCGATTATTCCATGGTATGCATCAGATAACTCGAGACCATAAGAACTTACATCCGATATCCAATGTTCAATATTCTTTGCAACTCTGTATATGCTGACGTCCCCAGAAAAGCGCTTCTTGAACGATTTGTCTACAGCGGCCTTCTTATCGACTTCAGATAATTGATCCATTGCGTGCACACGTGCCGCTTGCGCCCCCACCTCTTTTTTGACGTTAGATAGTTCACCCATTGCGTGCACACGTGCCGCTTGCGCCCCCGCCTGCACTTCTGGCAGATCCATCGAAACGTGTTGCACAACCTCAATTGCTTTACTCGCTACCGCTTCGATGGTCCGCTCGGATTCATTGTCTTCGAGTCTTGAGCTTGAAACTTGGTCGCCCTCTAAATCAGCATTGCGAACAGATTGATGGCTAGATACAGTCAAAACGAAACTGAGGGCCACTCCAGCCAACAATACAATGCATCTAAAATCTCGAGCGAATTGGCGAGTCATACTTGTTGCGATTCTTGGGTAAAGGAAAACTTGTCGAATGACAACATCATGTTGTTAAAATATGATACATCTGCCTGACTTGCCAATATGTATCCCTATACATTTTTCAGTAATCTAAGCTTCTAGAAAATCGAACTCACCTTCGAAATACTTTTTTTTGCAGAATATTCAGCGTAAGGGTCAATGTTTCTAAAACTCATCTGGTCCGAACAGAAGGATCTACATTGCACAAGTGACAATAGTTGGAGATTCGGACGGACAACATTCGCCTGCCCTGATTCTGACAATACGAACGGTTACCACAACTGAATGGCTTGTGTCATTGATTTTGTTATAAATAGCCAGCGCATTTAGAACGGCTTATTGTGATTGCGGTTTAAGGTTAAGTGCTGACCTCTACATGATGCAATGCAAACTTGCTGTCTAATTGCTGCCCTCTGCTCGATGCAATGCATACTTGCATTCTACTGCTGCCCTCTGCTTGATGCAATGCATACTTGCTTTCTAACTGCTGCGCTCGGCTTGATGCAGTCCATACTTGCTTTCTAACTGCTGCCCTCTGCTAGATGCAGTGCATACTTGCTTTTTAACTGCTGCAATCTACTTGCTGCATTGTATACTTGCTTTCTAACTGCTGACCTCTGCTTGAGGCAGTGCATACTTGCTTTCTAACTTCTGCCCATTACTTAGTGCAGTGCATACTTGCTTTCTACTGCTGCCCTCTGCTTGATGCAGTGCATACTTGCTTTCTACTGCTGCCCTCTGCTTGATGCAGAGCATGTTTGCTCTTTAACTGTTGTCTACTGCTTGATACAATGTATACTTACTTTCTCACTGCTTCCTTCTTCTTGCTGCAGTTTAAACTTGGTTTATAACTAGTAGTAGCACTGCATCAAGTAGAGGGCAGCAGTCAGAAAGCAAGTATACAATGCAGCAAGTAGATTGCAGCAGTTAAAAAGCAAGTATGCACTGCATCTAGCAGAGGGCAGCAGTTAGAAAGCAAGTATGGACTGCATCAAGCCGAGCGCAGCAGTTAGAAAGCAAGTATGCATTGCATCAAGCAGAGGGCAGCAGTAGAATGCAAGTATGCACTGCATCGAGCAGAGGGCACCAGTTAAACAGCAAGTTTGCATTGCCTCATGTAGAGGTCAGCACTTAACCTTAAACCGCAATCACAATAAGCCGTTCTAAATGCGCTGGCTATTTATAACAAAATCAATGACACAAGCCATTCAGTTGTGGTAACCGTTCGTATTGTCAGAATCAGGGCAGGCGAATGTTGTCCGTCCGAATCTCCAACTATTGTCACTTGTGCAATGTAGATCCTTCTGTTCGGACCAGATGAGTTTTCTGACCTTACGCTGAATATTCTGCAAAAATAAATATTTCGAAGGTGAGTTTGATGTTCTAGAAGCTTAAATCACTGAAAAATGTATAGGGATACATATTGGCAAGTTAGGCAGATGTATTATATTTTAACAACATGATGTTGTCATTTGACAAGTTTTCCTTTACCCAAGAATCGCAACAAGTATGACTCGTCAATTCATTCAAGATTTTCGATGCATCGTGTGGGTCAGAGTGGCCCTCAGTTTCGTTTTGGCTGTATCTAGCCATCAATCTGTTCGCAATGCTAATTTAGAGGGCAGTAGTGGTGCTGACCAAGTTTCAAGTTCAAGGCTCGAAGACAATAAACCGAGCGGACCACCAAGCGGTAGCGAGTAAAGCAATCAAGCTCGTGCAACATGTTTCGATGGATATTCTAGAAGTGGAGGCGGGGACAATAGCGGCGCGTGTGCACGCGATGGGTGAGCCATTTAACGTCGAACAGAAGAGGGTGTAGCTGAGCTACTGTAGCTACGCTACTTTTGCATTATGTGCAGCTGCACTATGTGCCGAAGATGTAGTCAGACTACTGTAGCAGAGCTACGTATGCACTATGTGCAGAGGAAGACAAGCTCAGAGAGCTTCTACGTCTTAGGGTGCTTAACCGTCCTAGGCTAGCTCGTAAGCTTGTGCCTATCGGTTGTTGTAACCGTGTCTCAAAGAGACTAGTATCAAAGATACTTATTCCTTAGAAGGAATCGAACGCTCAAGCTGTAAGGCTTGTAGAGCAGGTTTGAAACTGATTTATATTCATGTTTATCTTCTAACACTAAATATAGAAGCACCTACTCTATACTTAGTGCTAGTCACTGTTTACTGGCTCTATAGCCTGTTATTATTATGCAAACATGTATAGTGACTATACTTTAAATAAGTATAGTGACCACGTGGCTCTCTGCCACGATGCGTCCCTTCGTACTTCAGGTACGGTCACATCACCTACTTTTGTACCCAAGGTACAGCCACACCACATTGGTGTGGAAGGTGTGTATGTACAATACACACCTTCGTCTAAACCCGTCACACCCTTCCCCACGAATCCGTGGGACCCGACGTACCCACGAATTTCCGCACTTAATTGGAGGCATCGATTTCATTTTGCCTCGCAATAAGTGCTTGCACTTGCGAACAAAGCGTCAATGTTCTGACACTTGCTCCTTGAGCACCTGTGCTTTGCACATACGCTTTCTAAGCATTATAGTGTTATGACACTTGTTTCTCGAGCATACAGTGCATTGCACTCACGCTAAAGCATTATAGTGTTACGACACTTGCTTATAAGCGTCAAGTGCCAAGCACTTGGTAATAAAACCCTTTGTGTGTTCACGAACACTTTCTTTCACAGCATTATGTGCCTAGCACTTACTTTTAAGCATTACAGTGTTCACAACACTTGCTTCAAGCATTTGAGCATATAAGTGTGTAACATTTGCTCACAAAGCACCGTAATGTTACTAATACTAGCTCATAATGCACATTTGTGTCGAACACTAGCTTATAACGCACGTTAGTGTCGAACACTAGCTACAATGCATACTAGTGTCTAACACTAGCTTTTAAAGCACCTAAGTGCTCAACACTTGCTTATAAAGCACATTTTCGCTTCACTTTAGCGTATAAGCACCATAGCATTTAACAGTAGCTTATAAAGCACCATAGTGTATAACACTAGATTATAAAGCACCATAGTGTACAACACTTGCTTTTAAAGCACATTTTTGCTAAAAACTTACTTTTAAAGCATCTTCGTGTTCAGCACTCGCTTATAAAGCACCTAAATGTTTAACACGTGCTTGTAACGCACCTTAGTGTTGAACACTTGCTTTTGAAAAGCCTTTAAGTGCAAAAATACTTGCTTATATAATCCCAAAGTGTTGTACACTTCTGATAAAGCTTTATAGTGTTTTAAACTTGCTTGTATAAAGCCCCACAGCGTTATTTTGCTTATAAAGCACAACATTGTTTACCACTTGCTTATATAAAGCCCCAAAGTGTTTTGAACTTGCTTCTGAAGCAGATAATAGTACTTTCAAGCGAGTGAGGTACCAGCAACTGCTTCCCAAGAAGGTCAGAGGTGAAGCCTAACTACTGACCTTACTTCCACAGCACTTAGTGCTAGAAAGCATCCGGCGACTGCTGTCGCCGCTTCTGGTCTTCACGATCAAAAGCTTCAACGACGTCCGGGCAGTCTTGCCGTAGGGTACCTCGTACTCTCATGAATCATACGACTGAGGATACCCCCTCCACTTTACCAGATACTGGATGTGGCCCTGATAAAGACGTCGCGCCAATAGATGCTCGAAGTAAAAATGTTGATGACCCAGCTCATCAGTCAGCGTTAGTGGGGGTCGGTGATCCATCGATCCATGATCCTTTGGTACGCCTTCAGCGTCCATATGCACCTCCGGTGCCGTAATATCTGCCTCCTTCGGCCGAGGATAGTCCACCGAGGCAGGGTTGAGGTATGGCTTTAGCAAACCCACGTCGGACACATGATGTGTTCTCATCTTCTTCGGAAGGTTCAGCGTATAGGCTAAAGCTTTCTTGCCTATGACCTTGAAAGGTCCAATGAAACGTGGTCGTAATTTAGTTTTACATACCGCCGAAACGTCACGGGTAGGTAAATTCCTAGCGTTTAGTAAACTTAAATCACCCACCTTGAGCTCATGATCGTTTTTTTCTGCCTTTGGCATCCGCTTGTTCCTTCTGAACATCCTGGCTTTCAGCCATAGCGTCTTTGACGCGACGTAATACGTCGGAACGCGTTGACAGAAACGCTTCCACCTTCTTGCGCATCGCAACAGGGCTGATATCAGCCAAGCCTTCGGCTATCTCTCCTCCACTAAGCCCTGATGTAGCAGGGGGTAGCGTTAAAGGAACGCGAGGGTTAAATAAGCCATTCACGTAGAATGAGGTGAAGCCTGTAGAGGCATGCACCGCATTATTCAACGCAAACTCTGTGAGAGAGGGCATCGTGCTTCTTTGCATTGGTGTTTCATCAAACAAACACTGCAAACCATGTCACCAATTACGCAATTGACGCGTTGTGTCTGACCATCGGTCTGCGGATGAGTCCGCCGTGGACATGTCCAGTCGAGTGCCGAGCACTTTAAAGACGGATGTCCAAAACTGACCCGTAAAACGGGGGTCTCTATCCGAGACGATTGCCACAGGCAATCCGTGTTGTCTAAACACACGATCCATAAACAGCTTTTCTGTTCCTTCTCCATCAATGGAGTCCGACACTGCCGCTAAGTGAGCCATCTTGCTCAATCGGTCTACAAAGACCACAATCCCAGTGTTGCCTGCCGCATCACGCGGTAGGCCAAACACAAAGTTCATACTAATGGACTGCTACAACCCCGAGGGTACAGGCAAACTCACCAAAGGCGCAGCCATATTAGGCGAGGGTTTCACCCTTTGACACGTTTCACACGTGCGTACGTAGGTACCAACCCATTTATACAACTTGGGCCACCAATAATGGGTGCTCACCGAGCTGTAGGTCTTTTCACGACCAAAATGACCACCAAGTGGTGTATCATAAAGTATCTGATACTTGAGGTCCTCATCAGGAGGCACCACAACACGAGGCTGGTTATCCGACCCTGTACTATAGTACAACAGACCATCGGTCAGTGCATAACTATGTAATCTCGCACGATTACGTGGTGACAACTTCACCTTAGTTTTCAAACTCTGCGCTACCCAGCGCCTGCAGAATGGCAACACACGCTTCATCGCGTGCATACGCCACACGGATACGTTCCGTTACTGACGCACTCACAACATTGAGATGAGCAAGCTCATAGTCAGGTCTACGCGATAACGCGTTAGCCAAAATATTCTGTCTTCCCGGCTTATACTTCACCTCGAAGTTATGCTCCGCAAAAAAGGAGAGCCAACGAGCCATTCTCTGCGAGAGATGAGGCGTCTGTGTCGCTGTGCGTAATGTCGCATGATCGGTATAGATCACAAGCGCTTTGAGCCCAACAGGTGTACCCTGAACTTAACAAGGGCATACTTCATCGCAAGTAGCTCCTTGTCATGAACTGGATAGTTCTTTTCTTCAGCTTTCAGCTGGCGAGACTTAAACGCGATGACGCGTTCTCGACCCTCAGAGTCGACTTGCAAAAGTGCACTGCCAATGGCAAAGTTCGAAGCGCACATACGACGCTAAACGGGCGATCAGGATCAGGAAGAGCCAGAATTGGCGCCTGAAGGAGAATCTCCTTAATGGCTTCAAAAGCCTCGTGGTGCGCGGTGTTCCAATACCATTCCACATCCTTAAGGAGATTTGATAATGGCTTAGCTACCTCCGCATAGTTGTGGCTATACTTGTGCAAGTAATTTGCCAAACCCAACCACTTGCGGAGGTTCTTCTGTTTCCCTGGAACTGGTCAATCTACTATGGCTTTGACCTTAACAGGGTCTGCCCGGATTCCTCGCTTCCCATTGAAGCATCACAAAAAAGGAATCTCTTCCGCACCGAAGATGCATTTGTCAATATTGGCATACAACTTATGCATCCTCATGCAACCGAGCACAGCTCGCAGGTGCTCGATGTGATTCTCCACATCAGTCTTGCCATTTTCAGCTCGACTATGAACGAACATATCGTCAAAGTATGTCTGTGCATACGCCCTATGGGGCCGAAACAACTGCGTCACTAGATGATTAAGCGTTGCAGGCGCGTTAGATAGCTCTTGGGGCATCACTAATCGCTCCCAGAGCATACCGCTCGGAGTGCTGACCGCTGTCAGCGGGGTATCACTAGCTTGCATGAGCAGTTGGTAATATCCATCGACTAAGTCGAGGGCACTGTACATTGTACATCCCACCATATTGCTCTGAAGAACATCCTTGCAAGGAATTGGTGTTTGAGCCGGGGTAGTGACTGCATTCAGCTTATTGCAAGCATGCAATATTCTCCACTTCCCATTAGGCTTTCTTACACAAAACGTGGGCGTAGAGTGAGGAGACTTACTCTCAAGCACCATGCCAGCCGCGTGCTTTGCACGAAAGAGCTCGTCAATGACGTCACATTGTTCTCGTGGCAGCGGCCACTGTCGCGTCAAACAGTATTTGGTTACTAGAACCAAGTCAATTTCATTACGTACACCTCTATCCGGAGGTAACCTCGTCGGAGGTTCTATGGATACAACATTTTCATATTCCTTCAACAAAGGAAAGTAATGATTTGATGGGTCCTCCGAGTGGCGTTGCCAGAACCGAAGTCTTTCGGGTAAACTTGCCCTCATTTGAGGAAGCTGTTGGAGTGGCATGGAATGCAGAAACCAACTTTAAGACCGCTAGGCCTGCCACGTTTAAATACTCGTCTAATGGGTCTAATCCCATGGACTCTAGTCAAGTGGAGGATGAAGAAGCTGAGCTTCATGCTGCGGAGCAGCAAATTGTGCGCAGATGTTATATCTGCAAGAGCACAGGTCATTTGATGGAAAAATGCCCTGCAAGAAAGGCATATTTGGTCTCGAAGGGCCGAAGTTCCATGGGTAAACCTTCTGCTTTGCCGCGGGGAAACGGCGGGACCCAGTAGGCGTACGATATTATCATTGCTACTCTTGATGCGCTCGGCATCTAACGCATTAACGTCCGCAGGTGTATACACTTCAAGGTCAAAGACTACTTCGACCGTTAACTGACTGCACCCCACCCTCTTGGCTCCATGCCTCGTCATGAGGTGCTTGCACCTCGTTGTCCTCAAAGACAATATCCATTTGTGACTTCACCCGACCCTCTTGGGCCAGTCCTCGTCACCTATGTCACTTGGACTCATGTCCTGACATCTTGGCTTGCAGCCACCAGCACCACTCACGGTGTTTAATGATGTAATATCTTTTTCATGACACATGTCATATGTGCCATCTAGGGGGTATCAACCACACTATCGACAGTCATTGGGCCTCGCCCAGAACTATTGTCCTCGACACTTACAGTGTCTACAAAGTCGGATATTCCGACATCCAACATATTGACCGACTCGGTCCAATATCCACGCCAAAAGCACTTTTGCTTCCTAGCAAAGGTGGGTTTATGACTCTCCAGAGCCCCACCAGGAGCATTGCGCGTTGCTCCTAAGGTCTTCGACTTCCAATCAATCCATGACTCATGACGTTCTAGCCATGCCATGACTAGGATGAGGTCATACCTCGCATCCAGTTCTAAGACAAAACAGCATTCCACGCTGTTAAATTCCAAGAGCTTTACATTTATGTCCATCGGGACTTTGAGTACCGTAACACGCGTGCCCGTCGCTAAGCAAACTGTGACTGTGTCACTTTCACGCGCTACAAGGGCTTCAACATACTGCTGACTACTTCCACGGTGGCACGGCGCGCATAATTGCCCGATGCCCCCGAATCGATCAAATGATCCATGGCTTATCAAAGCCCTTAATCGTCCCTTCGACTAGTAGCAAGCCTGACTTGCATTCTCGTTTCGTTTTTAAGAGTCCGAATCTCTTTAAGGCTAGAGACTACTCACTTCTACCTCGTAGTTCAACAGAACTCAGTTTATCCCCAGCAGGGCGCCCTGCGCCTACTGGGTCCCGCCGTTTCCCCGCGGCAAAGCAAAAGGTTTACCCATGGAACTTCGGCCCTTCGAGACCAAATAAGCCTTTCTTGCAGGGCATTTTTCCATCAAATGACCTGTGCTCTTGCAGATATAACATCTGCGCACAATTTGTGCTCTTGCAGATATAACATCTGCGCACAATTTGCTGCTCCGCAGCATGAAGCTCAGCTTCTTCATCCTCCACTTGACTAGAGTCCATGGGATTAGACCCATTAGACGAGTATTTAAACGTGGCAGGCCTAGCGGTCTTAAAGTTGGTTTCTGCATTCCATGCCACTCCAACAGCTTCCTCAAATGAGGGCAAGTTTACCCGAAAGACTTCGGTTCTGGCAACGCCACTCGGAGGACCCATCAAATCATTACTTTCCTTTGTTGAAGGAATATGAAAATGTTGTATCCATAGAACCTCCGACGAGGTTACCTCCGGATAGAGGTGTACGTAATGAAATTGACTTGGTTCTAGTAACCAAATACTGTTTGACGCGACAGTGGCCGCTGCCACGAGAACAATGTGACGTCATTGACGAGCTCTTTCGTGCAAAGCACGCGGCTGGCATGGTGCTTGAGAGTAAGTCTCCTCACTCTACGCCCACGTTTTGTGTAAGAAAGCCTAATGGGAAGTGGAGAATATTGCATGCTTGCAATAAGCTGAATGCAGTCACTACCCCGGCTCAAACACCAATTCCTTGCAAGGATGTTCTTCAGAGCAATATGGTGGGATGTACAATGTACAGTGCCCTCGACTTAGTCGATGGATATTACCAACTGCTCATGCAAGCTAGTGATACCCCGCTGACAGCGGTCAGCACTCCGAGCGGTATGCTCTGGGAGCGATTAGTGATGCCCCAAGAGCTATCTAACGCGCCTGCAACGCTTAATCATCTAGTGACGCAGTTGTTTCGGCCCCATAGGGCGTATGCACAGACATACTTTGACGATATGTTCGTTCATAGTCGAGCTGAAAATGGCAAGACTGATGTGGAGAATCACATCGAGCACCTGCGAGCTGTGCTCGGTTGCATGAGGATGCATAAGTTGTATGCCAATATTGACAAATGCATCTTCGGTGCGGAAGAGATTCCTTTTTTGTGATGCTTCAATGGGAAGCGAGGAATCCGGGCAGACCCTGTTAAGGTCAAAGCCATAGTAGATTGACCAGTTCCAGGGAAACAGAAGAACCTCCGCAAGTGGTTGGGTTTGGCAAATTACTTGCACAAGTATAGCCACAACTATGCGGAGGTAGCTAAGCCATTATCAAATCTCCTTAAGGATGTGGAATGGTATTGGAACACCGCGCACCACGAGGCTTTTGAAGCCATTAAGGAGATTCTCCTTCAGGCGCCAATTCTGGCTCTTCCTGATCCTGATCGCCCGTTTAGCGTCGTATGTGCGCTTCGAACTTTGCCATTGGCAGTGCACTTTTGCAAGTCGACTCTGAGGGTCGAGAACGCGTCATCGCGTTTAAGTCTCGCCAGCTGAAAGCTGAAGAAAAGAACTATCCAGTTCATGACAAGGAGCTACTTGCGATGAAGTATGCCCTTGTTAAGTTCAGGGTACACCTGTTGGGCTCAAAGCGCTTGTGATCTATACCGATCATGCGACATTACGCACAGCGACACAGACGCCTCATCTCTCGCAGAGAATGGCTCGTTGGCTCTCCTTTTTTGCGGAGCATAACTTCGAGGTGAAGTATAAGCCGGGAAGACAGAATATTTTGGCTAACGCGTTATCGCGTAGACCTGACTATGAGCTTGCTCATCTCAATGTTGTGAGTGCGTCAGTAACGGAACGTATCCGTGTGGCGTATGCACGCGATGAAGCGTGTGTTGCCATTCTGCAGGCGCTGGGTAGCGCAGAGTTTGAAAACTAAGGTGAAGTTGTCACCACGTAATCGTGCGAGATTACATAGTTATGCACTGACCGATGGTCTGTTGTACTATAGTACAGGGTCGGATAACCAGCCTCGTGTTGTGGTGCCTCCTGATGAGGACCTCAAGTATCAGATACTTTATGATACACCACTTGGTGGTCATTTTGGTCGTGAAAAGACCTACAGCTCGGTGAGCACCCATTATTGGTGGCCCAAGTTGTATAAATGGGTTGGTACCTACGTACGCACGTGTGAAACGTGTCAAAGGGTGAAACCCTCGCCTAATATGGCTGCGCCTTTGGTGAGTTTGCCTGTACCCTCGGGGTTGTAGCAGTCCATTAGTATGAACTTTGTGTTTGGCCTACCGCGTGATGCGGCAGGCAACACTGGGATTGTGGTCTTTGTAGACCGATTGAGCAAGATGGCTCACTTAGCGGCAGTGTCGGACTCCATTGATGGAGAAGGAACAGAAAAGCTGTTTATGGATCGTGTGTTTAGACAACACGGATTGCCTGTGGCAATCGTCTCGGATAGAGACCCCCGTTTTACGGGTCAGTTTTGGACATCCGTCTTTAAAGTGCTCGGCACTCGACTGGACATGTCCACGGCGGACTCATCCGCAGACCGATGGTCAGACACAACGCGTCAATTGCGTAATTGGTGACATGGTTTGCAGTGTTTGTTTGATGAAACACCAATGCAAAGAAGCACGATGCCCTCTCTCACAGAGTTTGCGTTGAATAATGCGGTGCATGCCTCTACAGGCTTCACCTCATTCTACGTGAATGGCTTATTTAACCCTCGCGTTCCTTTAACGCTACCCCCTGCTACATCAGGGCTTAGTGGAGGAGAGATAGCCAAAGGCTTGGCTGATATCAGCCCTGTTGCGATGCGCAAGAAGGTGGAAGTGTTTCTGTCAACGCGTTCCGACGTATTACGTCGCGTCAAAGACGCTATGGCTGAAAGCCAGGATGTTCAGAAGGAACAAGCGGATGCCAAAGGCAGAAAAAAACGATCATGAGCTCAAGGTGGGTGATTTAAGTTTACTAAACGCTAGGAATTTACCTACCCGTGACGTTTCGGCGGTATGTAAAACTAAATTACGACCACGTTTCATTGGACCTTTCAAGGTCATAGGCAAGAAAGCTTTAGCCTATACGCTGAACCTTCCGAAGAAGATGAGAACACATCATGTGTCCGACGTGGGTTTGCTAAAGCCATACCTCAACCCTGCCTCGGTGGACTATCCTCGGCCGAAGGAGGCAGATATTACGGCACCGGAGGTGCATATGGACGCTGAAGGCGTACCAAAGGATCATGGATCGATGGATCACCGACCCCCACTAACGCTGACTGATGAGCTGGGTCATCAACATTTTTACTTCGAGCATCTATTGGCGCGACGTCTTTATCAGGGCCACATCCAGTATCTGGTAAAGTGGAGGGGGTATCCTCAGTCGTATGATTCATGAGAGTACGAGGTACCCTACGGCAAGACTGCCCGGACGTCGTTGAAGCTTTTGATCGTGAAGACCAGAAGCGGCGACAGCAGTCGCCGGATGCTTTCTAGCACTAAGTGCTGTGGAAGTAAGGTCAGTAGTTAGGCTTCACCTCTGACCTTCTTGGGAAGCAGTTGCTGGTACCTCACTCGCTTGAAAGTACTATTATCTGCTTCAGAAGCAAGTTCAAAACACTTTGGGGCTTTATATAAGCAAGTGGTAAACAATGTTGTGCTTTATAAGCAAAATAACGCTGTGGGGCTTTATACAAGCAAGTTTAAAACACTATAAAGCTTTATCAGAAGTGTACAACACTTTGGGATTATATAAGCAAGTATTTTTGCACTTAAAGGCTTTTCAAAAGCAAGTGTTCAACACTAAGGTGCGTTACAAGCACGTGTTAAACATTTAGGTGCTTTATAAGCGAGTGCTGAACACGAAGATGCTTTAAAAGTAAGTTTTTAGCAAAAATGTGCTTTAAAAGCAAGTGTTGTACACTATGGTGCTTTATAATCTAGTGTTATACACTATGGTGCTTTATAAGCTACTGTTAAATGCTATGGTGCTTATACGCTAAAGTGAAGCGAAAATGTGCTTTATAAGCAAGTGTTGAGCACTTAGGTGCTTTAAAAGCTAGTGTTAGACACTAGTATGCATTGTAGCTAGTGTTCGACACTAACGTGCGTTATAAGCTAGTGTTCGACACAAATGTGCATTATGAGCTAGTATTAGTAACATTACGGTGCTTTGTGAGCAAATGTTACACACTTATATGCTCAAATGCTTGAAGCAAGTGTTGTGAACACTGTAATGCTTAAAAGTAAGTGCTAGGCACATAATGCTGTGAAAGCAAGTGTTCGTGAACACACAAAGGGTTTTATTACCAAGTGCTTGGCACTTGACGCTTATAAGCAAGTGTCGTAACACTATAATGCTTTAGCGTGAGTGCAATGCACTGTATGCTCGAGAAACAAGTGTCATAACACTATAATGCTTAGAAAGCGTATGTGCAAAGCACAGGTGCTCAAGGAGCAAGTGTCAGAACATTGACGCTTTGTTCGCAAGTGCAAGCACTTATTGCGAGGCAAAATGAAATCGATGCCTCCAATTAAGTGCGGAAATTCGTGGGTACGTCGGGTCCCACGGATTCGTGGGGAAGGGTGTGACGGGTTTAGACGAAGGTGTGTATTGTACATACACACCTTCCACACCAATGTGGTGTGGCTGTACCTTGGGTACAAAAGTAGGTGATGTGACCGTACCTGAAGTACGAAGGGACGCATCGTGGCAGAGAGCCACGTGGTCACTATACTTATTTAAAGTATAGTCACTATACATGTTTGCATAATAATAACAGGCTATAGAGCCAGTAAACAGTGACTAGCACTAAGTATAGAGTAGGTGCTTCTATATTTAGTGTTAGAAGATAAACATGAATATAAATCAGTTTCAAACCTGCTCTACAAGCCTTACAGCTTGAGCGTTCGATTCCTTCTAAGGAATAAGTATCTTTGATACTAGTCTCTTTGAGACACGGTTACAACAACCGATAGGCACAAGCTTACGAGCTAGCCTAGGACGGTTAAGCACCCTAAGACGTAGAAGCTCTCTGAGCTTGTCTTCCTCTGCACATAGTGCATACGTAGCTTTGCTACAGTAGTCTGACTACATCTTCTGCACATAGTGCATAAGTAGCGTAGCTACAGTAGCCCGGATACAATTATTGCGATGCTACCCAACGTCTATTCAAAGCTACGCAGTCCACCTGCTATGTTGTCACTCAGTACTGCACCAATCGTTGTATCTGGATTCAGCCTGTTCAGCGTTTCACTTATCCTGGACAAGTCAAAGAAAGCCAATTTTTGCGGCATTTGAACCTAACGGTGTTGTTTTAATGGATGTAGGCTATGAGCTCATAGCGAAGTGCAGGAATTTGGTTGTGAGGCAACCGATCTAGTAGCCAGATAAGCAAGGAACGAAAGTCGTGAGTGTGCCGTGTAATTCGTGTAGCTTGTGATGGTATAGGGTACAGCAATGACATTCGCAAGGGACGAAAATAAATCAGAAAAAGAAGCAGATTCTATGTTTGACTGCAACCTGTTCCCATAAAGTTTAGTATGGCCATATTGTGATGATCGTGTGCACTACATAAATCTATGTCATCCACATTGGTATGGAGGTTCCATGTCTAAATCCATAACTCTATACTTAGAAAGAACTTTGAAAGAATTTCAGTGCGAGCATATTGGTGGCACTCCAAGACTTCCACCATAATGAACTCTGCGCACGTCGCATCATTGACTAACAGTCACGTACTTTCGCCATCGTCGCTGAGTCCAAAGCGAGTCAGTAGCGTTTCGCAGCATTACTCGCACCGTATACGTCAACCGTCTACCAAAGCCCTGATTCTACAGCAAAAGTACAAGGAAGAACAGCAGCGATCGATGCTGTCCAGAGCCGATACGATCGATGATGCACTGCTGTCTCGGGGAACGACAGACGATGTCTCTTGTTTGTCGAAGAAAGGCGTGGCGGCAGCGCTTCGAGAGCGTTCTAACTCGCTGGCGGTAATGGAGTCTAGGCGCTCTTACGCACCGGGTGTTGGCCACAGCATGAGTGTGAAAGCTACATCGAAATTGAAGAAGCATATGGACAAAGCAGCACAAGTAATGGAGACATTCCTGTGTCCGAAGCTGTTGAAAGACCAGTCGATTCCACACGAACTATTGGCTGAAGCGTATGGATTGGTGTTTGTCACCATGTACAAATTGGGATTCTTGTTTTCGGGCAAGATCGGAACAGGTTTTGTCATATCGCGTACGACTGGAGGGTGGTCGGCACCAAGCTTTTTGACATCAGGAGGTTTTGGCTTCGGTATGATGGCTGGCGGTGAAGTTGTAAATTACATGATCATTTTGAGTTCAAGGAGTGCTGTCAAGGTCTTTACAAGGAATGGCCAAGTGCAGCTAGGTTCGGAGCTTGATATTGCTGTAGGCCCTATTGGTCGAGCTGCTAGCGCTGCAATAAACGTTGGGCGTGGTGGTGTTGCACCAAATTACTCGTACAGCCATAGCAAGGGACTCTACGGTGGCATTGGTCTTAGTAGCGGTGTCATTTGCACGCGCAAGTCGTTGAACGCGAGATGCTATGGCCCTAATGTAACGGTGCGGCAGATTTTAGGTGGAGAAGTAGCGTGTTCGTTAGCTTTGCCGCTTTGGAAAGCGCTGGACAAGGCGCTTGGTATCCAGCGTGAGTACGTAAACGGTTTTCCTGTTCTGGCCCCCACGTATACTGGGATGGCATGTGATGCATGTAGCCATGTTCACTCTTCCGGGAACAACCCGCATGCTTGTGCAAACTGCGGAAATTTGCTGGTCTATAGTGTTAGTGTGCACTCTGGAAGGCGTAACACGAGCCAACTGATTGCATCAAAATTGACAACTGACTTAACAGCATAAGGTTGAGGGAGACTGAGTCACATCGGTGGTTACCATTTTAGTTTCGGTATTTTGTGCGGAACACTTTTATTTTATACGGAAAATAAAGTAAATTGAAAAAAGCTATTTCTACTTGACTATATGACGAGAGACATCGATCGATCTACCAATACCGGAATTAATACCGACTAGCGCTGGTTTCTGATATGGCGTCTTACAGGTCAGGAATTCCGTCGCTGACGCCACGCATTAGTGAGCTTTATGGTGCCAATGGTAGTGCTTTTCGTGTAGGAGAAGCAGACTCTTACATCCAAGATCTAGACGAGCTCGAGTGCGAAGAGAAAGCGCTCGAAAAGACGGTACAGGAGTTGGTAAACCGCCGAGCGGCAGTACCCATTGGTGTCAAATTCCACCGTGAAGGAGCTTCCAGCACTATGATGCAACAGGAAACAATACCAGGATCCAAAGTGATTCGAGGCAGTGAGGTGCCGAGAAACTCGGAGGTGACGTTAATCACGTCAAGTTTATCCGTAGAAGAAGAAGAGGAAGAAATGGGCGAGGAAGAAGAAGATATGGACGAGGACGACGAGGAAGATGAGGAAATGACAGGGAGAGCGACAATCGTACGAGGTGAGAGGCACCAAAGAAGTGAGGACTCATTTGCACGCGATAGTGAGTCGGCTGATGATTTGTTTGCAAGCGATAGTGAGTCAGCTAATGATTTGTTTGCAAGCGATATTGAACCTGGCAATGACTCGATGGATGTGGAAGAACGAAGTGACTGACATGAAGAAAATGCACTGGGTATTTGTCGTTGTAGGATCATCCAAAGTCATTTCTAAAAGCTAAATCCCTTGAAACTAGTAAAACAATTCAGAAGTCTAATGAAAAAAAGCAAGTTTTTGGAAAAGTAAAACCTCAGGGATATAGGACATACAAAAGAAATTCATTTTGGAAATTTGAAACACTATTTGGGTGACAATAAAATAGGGATTGCTATACATTACACAATCACGAACAATTATTGGTTTTTGAATTCCCTACAATCAATCATTTTGTGCCATGAAGGTCGAAGCGAGACAAGAAAACAATCGCGTTGACGTCACAACGTCGTCTACTTCTCCAGGTGAGAAAGCATTGGCAGATATGAACGGAGCATTTGCTAGCTGTCTATCTCTTGTGTGTCCCCCCCATTCAGTATCCTCCACATTGCCGGTTCAACCCGGTGCGAGACGCAGCTGACACAGTTGAGATTGAGACAAGACTCGAAGAGTTTTTCCTGCACGCGAAACAATTGGAGCAGCTATTTCTGAACGACAATGTGGAGAGTTTGTCCTCGGTAAGTATGAAAGTATCTCGAGACAACGTAAAGGTGGAGAGAGAGCGCTTGGAAAAGGCAGTCGATCGACAGGAACAAAGCGAATTGGAGCTAGAAATTTTAAACCTTGAAGCTGAGCTGGCAGAGAAAAATGACTTGATTGAGAAATATACGGAGATAGTGCGAGGTTGGGAAGGGAAGTTTAAGCGATTAGATCATCGTATGTCGCCTGACAGAGAGTAATGGAAAAAGTGGACAAGAGGAAGACATTTGCAATGGTAAACACTCCGAGCTGCATGTTGTTTTTAGTGATGTATCCTCTTTTAGCAAAGGTAAAAAACAAGAGAAGAAGTAAAGTGCTGATGTTTGCAGCATAAAGTTTACTCAAGTTGCTTCCAAGCTTTGAGTAGCACAGCCGTCTGGTCTGGACTACGGACAGCGATGCGTACGAAAGTAGGAAGGTTGTAGCCGGGTTTACCACTGCGAACAGGTACGCCATGCTCCTTGGCCAACTTACAGGCTTTTTCGCTTATGTCAGCCGACTTGGTATTCAACCAGATCCATGATAAGAAGGGTTTGCCAAAGAATTCCCAGTTTGGAAAGCGTTTAGTCAGCTGCTCAATCGCGTGTAGACGCCACTTGGGCGTAACATCCCACGTCTTCTGAAGGTAAGCGTCATCCTTGACTACAGCAGATACAAAGGCCAAAGCCATGGAATTAACTGACCATGGCACCTGCTTGCGCTTGATCTCAGCAGCGTGCTCGGATGTAGGGGCCACAACACTACCGATACGCAGCCCCGTGCACGACCAGATCTTGGTCCAGCTCGTCATGACCCAGACATTAATATGACGGGTTTCGAATCTTCGCGCCATTTTGGTCCAACCCATGGTTGCATGCTTTCATCAATAATGATCGTGTGGTTATCAGGGCAATTAGTTGCAATGTACTGTTTCATTTCCTCCACGTCCATGTAATCACCAGTTGGATTAGTTGGATTTACAACACACGTTAATGCAGCCTTGGAATCATTCCAAGCTAATGTTTCACGGCCGTCAGCTTGACAAGATCGTTCATACTCCTTGTACTGCGTCACAGTATTTCCTGGACGCCAGCCACCGCGCTGTACGCTACGAATCACCAGATCAATAAGTTCACTAGCTCCATTATCCATAAGCAATAGTGACAAGTTTTGCTGCGAGTTGATTGGCCATAAAAAATTGGCCAAATGGCTAAGAGCAGGCTGAAAGTCCGCCGGGGGATAGTGATGCACTGTATTGAGTGCCGCTCTAGCCGCTTCCAATGCTTTTTCAGGTGTACCCAATGCATTGGTAGTTACACTAAAATCCTAAATAAAGTTACGTAGGAATTTCCAGTCCTGACCACCGTGAAACGTCTGCTAGACGTAGTTGCACTTGTGTAGTAGAAGTAAGAAGTAACAGTAAAATATATTGAGTGTTAACGACCCTTCGTTGTTAACTTTACCATATGCAGTTTGATGACCAGCACTGCAACTTGACCTAGTCAAGGTACACCTGGCACACATCCAGCGTGCCCATCACCGTGTGTCATCCCTGATCCCTTATGACGTCCGTATGTCTTCGTCTAGCCTATCATCGATTAAAAACTTTGACATAACGATCTTCTTCCCAGTCCCATACGTCAAGATGTTACGTCTTGGTCCCACCTGTCAACTTGTTAGCCAATCAGGTGAGGGGTACCCTTTACCTGTCATGGGTCTTGCAGCCCTCACTCCGAGCTTCCATGACCTGTCAGAACCAATATCCTATAACACCGTCTGCGTCTAAGACGTCCCATGCGGTCGCTGCGTCGGAAGAAGATAAAATCATTCCGATCACACTGATCTAAGAATACTGGTTACTGAGTTCAAGATCTCACATAAAGACAACAGACGGTATTCCTAGGCAAGCAAAGCATAATGTCGCCTCGCGCAAATCTTACCGAAATCTGTTCCAAGTTTGGCCCAGAATCTGGACGTACTACGCGTGTAACAGAGATACTGTAGCCAAGCTACTTACGCACTACGTGCAGAGGAATACAAGCTCAAAGAGCTTATACGTCTTAGGGTTCTTTACCCTCCCAAGGCTAGCTTCACAAGCGTATACCTTTTGGCTGTAAACAACCACGTTTTCAAGATACTAGTATCAAAGATACAATTCCTTCCTTCAAGGAATAGAGCGCTCTAGCACTTACACTATTCAGAGCAGGTTTGAAACTGATTTATTTATGTTTAACTTCTAGCACTAGATATAAAAGCACCTACTCTATACTTAGTGCTAGTCACTATTTACTGGCTCTGTAGCCTATTACTATGTAAACATGTATAGTCACTATACTTAACTAAGTATATTGACCACGTGGCTCTGCCACGATGCGACCCTTCGTACCTTAGGTACGGTCACATCAACCTACCACTGTACCCACACCACATTGGTGTGGCAGGTGTGTATGTACAATACTCATCTTTGTGTAACCCCGTTACACCCTACCCCACCAATCCGTGGGACCCGACGTACCCACGATTTTTGAACTTAATGTGGAGTTCTGCCGATTTCTTGTTCTTCCCATTTTGCTTGCCTCGCAGTATGTGCCTCACACTTGCAAACAGAGCCTTAGTGTTACGGTACTCGCCCTTTGAAAATATGTGCTTTGCACTCACGCTTTCTAAGCATCCTAGTGTTAGAAATTTCCTCCTTAAGCATACCGTGCATTGCACTTACACTAAGGCATTTAGTGTTACGACACTTGCTTATAAGCGTCAAGTACCTAGCACTTGGTATTAATACCATTTGTTTACAAACACTTGATTATACAGCATTGATTGCCTGGCACTTTCTTTAAGCATTTTACATATTGCGCTTGCTCCGTTATGGATTCTGCATTGCGTCGTGACATCTTTGGGAACGATGACAGCGACGCTGCTTCCAGGGATAGCGGCGCCGAGTCTTCTTCGGATCATTGTACCCCGTGTTCACCACGCTCACCGATCGAAGGACGTCGATCGCGTTCCGTGTTCACTACCTCAAGGGGAACAACTGCGTTGCGTCAAGCACCACCGCTAGGGTGCCGGCGAAGAGGTATCTATCCCTCTTGACGCTGCACAGCGTCGCTAAATCTATGACGAGGCCCGAGCGGCCGCCTTGGCACGGCCCAAACAAACTTCTTCACGACGTGACTATGTGACCCTAATAAGGAATCTCGACAAGCTGCGTCGCAATAATTGCGTACTTATGTCATTGGGTCTCAGGCCCGCACTGATTGCAAGGTTTCGGATCGTGCCGCGTTTAATAAGTGGCTCATTACTCCACAGAAGTTTACGATGAAATCTTATCAGGAGCGACTGTCACGACAGTCACGTGGAGTGCCTGTGCATCCAGGGAACGACATACCATTAGTGCTCGCACCAGGTGAGACATCTGCGCAAGAGGATCACCAGTTCATCCGTTGGGTTGAACGAGCATGTAAGCTCTAAAGTTTGTCAAACTTGCGTTTAAGCGCTAAAGAGCAAGACGTTTGGTTAGAACGTCGTCTACGTTTTAGCTTCGCTAAGCTCAAAGCGAAACGTCAATTACCTTCCACATACAGGTCAAAGACTTGTGGGGAGCAAGCTTTTGAAACTGTTGCCCGTACCTCTCACACGAGTGATGTACCGGCATTGGCTACTTCTGAAAGTCAGAAGCGAAGCCAGTCTACTCCCACAGCACCTAGTGCTTGGAAGCTTCCAACGACAGCTGTCGTCGCTTCTGACCGTTCTGGTCAAAAGCGTCAACGACTTCAGGGCAATCCTGCCGGAGGGGTACCTCATACTCCCACGAGGCGTAAGACTGGGGGTAACCCCTCCACTTCACCAAGTATTGAAAATGACCCTGGTGACGACGCCTAGCTAAAAGACGTTCCACGTGGACCTGTTGATGACCCAGGTCATAAATCAGCGTCGGAGGAGGTCGATGACCCATTAACCGCTCATCTCTCTGAGATCAAGCGTCGCCTGACACTCCTGGAGAGTAATGCTCTTGGATCGGTGACGTCTCACATGTCATCGCTCGATGACCGTGTCGAACGACACCGTTGATCCTTTGAGCGTCATCGCTTTAAGACCTCGGATCTCTAAGCGGCGATTGAGCATTCTCAAGCCGAGCTTCGTTGTCAGCTTGACCTCCTGGTACGCCTTCAGCGTCCATATGCACCTCCGGTGCAGTACTTCCCGCCTCCTTCGGCCTGGGATATGGGGACAACCCCTCGAAGTCCACCAAGGCCGGGTTGAGGAATGGCTTAAGTAAGCCCACATAGAACACAGGATGTGTTCTCATCTTCTTCGGAAGGTTCAGCGTATAGGCTAAACCTTTCATGCCTATGACCTTGAAAGTTCCAATAAGACGTGGTCGTAATTTGGTTTTATATACCGCAGACGCTGCACGTGTAGGTAAATTCCTTGCGTTTAATAAACCTAAATCACCCACTTTGAACTCATGTTTATTCTTCCTGCCTTTGGCATCCGCGTGTTCCTTCTGAACATTCTGGCTTTCAGCCATAGCGTCTTTGACGTGACGTAATACGTCAAAACGCGTTGACAAAAACGCTTCCACCTTTTTGCGCATCGCAACAGGGCTGATATCAGCCAAGCCTTCGGCTATCTCTCCTTCACTAAGCTCTGATGTAGCAGGCGGTAGCGTTAAAGGAACGCGAGGGTTAAATAAGCCATTCACGTAGAATGAGGTGAAGCCTGTCGAGGCACCGCATTATTCAACGCAAACTCTGTGAGAGAGGGAATCGTGCTTCTTTGCATTGGTGTTTCATCACAGTGCATACTTGCTTTCTACTGCTGCCCTCTGCTTGATGCAGTGAATACTTGCTTTCTAACTGCTGCCCTCTGCTTGCATCAGTGCATACTTGCTTTCTAACTGCTGCCCTCTGGTTGAGGCAGTGCATACTTGCTTTCTGACTGCTGCCCTCTACTTGATGCAGTGCTACTACTAGTTATAAACCAAGTTTAAACTGCAGCAAGAAGAAGGCAGCAGTGAGAAAGTAATTAAAAATTGTATCAAGCAGTAGACAACAGTTAATGAACAAACATGCTCTGCATCAAGCAGAGGGCAGCAGTAGAAAGCAAGTATGCACTGCATCAAGCAGAGGGCAGCAGTAGAAAGCAAGTATGCACTGCACTAAGTAGTGGGCAGAAGTTAGAAAGCAAGTATGCACTGCCTCAAGCAGAGGTCAGCAGTTAGAAAGCAAGTATGCACTGCATCGAGCAGAGGGCAGCAGTAGAAAGCAAGTATGCACTGCATCGAGCAGAGGGCAGCAATTAGACAGCAAGTTTGCATTGCATCATGTAGATGTTAGCACTTAACCTTAAACCGCAATCACAATAAGCCGTTCTAAATGCGCTGGCTATTTATAACAAAATCAATGACACAAGCCATTCAGTTGTGGTAACCGTTCGTATTGTCAGAATCAGGGCAGGCAAATGTTGTCCGTCCGAATCTCCAACTATTGTCACTTGTGCAATGTAGATCCTTCTGTTCGGACCAGATGAGTTTTAGAAACATTGACCCTTACGCTGAATATTCTGCAAAAAAAAGTATTTCGAAGGTGAGTTCGATTTTCTAGAAGCTTAGATTACTGAAAAATGTATAGGGATACATATTGGCAAGTCAGGCAGATGTATCATATTTTAACAACATGATGTTGTCATTCGACAAGTTTTCCTTTACCCAAGAATCGCAACAAGTATGACTCGCCAATTCGCTCGAGATTTTAGATGCATTGTATTGTTGGCTGGAGTGGCCCTCAGTTTCGTTTTGACTGTATCTAGCCATCAATCTGTTCGCAATGCTGATTTAGAGGGCGACCAAGTTTCAAGCTCAAGACTCGAAGACAATGAATCCGAGCGGACCACCGAAGCGGTAGCGAGTAAAGCAATCGAGGTTGTGCAACACAGTTCGATGGATCTGCCAAAAGTGGAGGCGGGGACAATAGCGGCGCGTGTGCACGCAATGGGTGAACTATCTAACGTCGAACAGAAGGGGGGTGTAGCTGAGCTACTGTAGCTACGCTACTTTGCACTATGTGCAGATGCACTATGTGCCGAAGAAGTAGTCAGACTACTGTAGCAGAGCTACGTATGCACTATGTGCAGAGGAAGACAAGCTCAGA